AGCCGGTTGAGCTATAGGCGCCGAGCCTCATTCTTTTTTTTTTTTTAAAGAGACAGGATCTCACTCTGTGACCTAGGCTCAAGTGTGTTGGTGCAATACTAATTCATTGCAGCCTTGAGCTCCAGAGCTCAGGCAATCCTTCTGCATCAGCCTCCCAAGTATGTTAGGCTACAGGGGTGTACTGCTGTGCTTGGTTAATTTTTTTTTAAGTTTTTTGTAGAGTTGGGATCTTGCTGTCGTCCAGACAGGTGTTAAAATCCTGGCCGCAAGCTATCTTTCCACCTCAGCCTGTCCAGAGTGCTGGGATTACAAGTGTGAGCTACCAAACCTTGCCTCTGCTCATTCATAAGAAGCAATTCCTCATCTGTTCCAGTTTTATTGTGCAATTGCAGTAATTCAGTCACATTTTTAGGTTCCACTTCACATTCATTTTCAGGCTCTGTTTAGTTCTGTTGTCCAGGCTGGAGTATAGCGGCACCATCTTAACTCGCTATATCCTCAAATTCCTGGGCTTAAGGGATCCTCCTATTTCAGCCTCCCAAGTAGCTGGGACTCCAGGCCTGTGCCACCATGCCCCGTTAATTTTTGTGTTTTTCATAGAGATTGGGACTCCCCGTGTCACCAGGTTGGTCTCAAACTCCTGGCCTCATTTGATCCACCTCAGCCTCCCAAAGTATTGGGGTTATAGGTATAAGCCACTTTGTTGGCGTAGCGCCACTTGTAATTCTAGTTCTCTTGCTGTTTCTACCACAGCTGCAGTTATTTCCTCCACTGGCGTCTTGAGTCCCTCAAAGTCATCTATAGTTACAATCAACTTTCAAGCTTCTGTTAATGTTGATATTTTGACTTCCTTCCATGAATCACAAATGTGCTTAATGGCATCTAGAATGCTGAATCTTTTCCAGAAGGTTTTCAATTTACTTAGTCCAGATCCATCAGAAGAATCACTATTTGTGGCAGCTATAGCCTTATGAAATGCATTTCTTAAATAATTAGACTTGAAAGTCAAAATGGCCTCTTGATCTGTGGGCTGCAAAATGGATGTGTGTGTTGGCAGGCATGAAAACCATATTCATTACCTTATACATCTCCATCAGAGATCTTGGATGAACAAGTGCATTGTCAATGAGCAGTAATATTTTGAAAAGGATCTTTTTTTTTCTGAGTAGTAGGTCTCAAAAGTGGGCTTAAAATATTTAGTAAACCATGCTGAAAACAGGCTGTAGGAAGAGTAGATTCAGCATAGTTCTTAAAGGCCTTAGGATTTTTGGCTTCAGCTTAGTCACTAGCTACATGAGCTCCTGAGAGTCAGCTTATCCTTTGAAGCTTTGAAGCCAGGCATTGACTTTTCTTCTCTTGCTATGAAAGTTGTAGATGGCATCTTCTTCCAATAAAGGCTGTTTTGTCTACATGCAAAGTATGTACAGTGTACCCATCTTCATCAGTTATTTTAGTTAGATCTTCTGGATAACTTTCTCTAGCTTCTACATCAGCACTTGGCTGCTTCACCTTGTACTTTTGTGTTATGGAGATGGCTTCTTTCTTTCATGCTTGTGAACCAACCTCTGCTTGCTTCCAACTTTCTTGATACAAGAGAATGGAGTTAGGGTCTTGCTCTGGATAAGCCTTTGGCTTAAAACAGTGTGGTTCTCAACCTTCCTAATGCTGCAAACCTTTAATACAGTTAAAAGGGGTTGCAACCCACAGGTTGAGAACCCCTAGCTTAAGGGAAAGTTGGCTAGTTTGATCTTCTGTCCAGACCACTCAGATTCTCTCCATGTCAGCAATAAGGCTGTTTCACTTTTTTTTTTTTTTTTTTTTGCAGTTTTTGGCCGGGGCTGGGTTTGAACCTGCCTCCTCCGGCATTATGGGGCTGTTGCCCTACTCTTTTGAGCCACAGGCACTGCCCTGTTTCACTTTTTTATTATTCATGTGTTTACTGGCATAGTACTTTTAATTTCCTTCAAGAACTTTGCCTTTGACTTTACAACTTGGCTAACTGGTGCTAGAAGCCTAGCTTTTGCCTGTCTTGGCTTTTGACATGCCTTATTTACTAAACGTAATCATTTCTAGCTTTTGATTTCTAGTGAGAAACATGCAACTGTTCCTTTCACTTGAATGTAATAGAGGCCATAGTAGGGATATATATGAATTGGCCTAATTGCAATATTGTTGTGTCTCAGGGAATAAGAGAGGGAGAGGGAGAGTGACTGGAAACTGCTGGTTGGTGGAACAGTCAGAACACACACACATTTATTGAGTTAGTTGCCTTCTATGGGTGTGGTTCATGGTACACCAAAATAGTTACAGTAGTATCATCAAAGATCACTGTTCACAGACCACCATAAGAGATATAATAATAAAGAAAAGTTTGAAACATGATGAGAATTCCCAAAATGTGACACAGAGACACAAAGCAAGCACATGCTATTGGAATATGATACTGATAGACTTGATGCAGGGTTGCCACAAATCTTCAATTTGTAAAAATCTTAGTATCTGCAAAGTGCAATAAAATGAGGTATGCCTGTAGACTCCTACTTATCTGAGTATTAGAGATTGAAAACTATTTAAAAAACAGGGGTTTATACAGATAAGATTCTAGAAGCTTCCCTGAAAGTTGTAAAGTCTGTAAGTCTCAAGAGGGAAAGAGGTGAGGTTATCTATCTGCTTTCTTATGCCTGAAAACATGGGACTGTAAACCTGCATTAGGGCCAAGGAAGAAGACATAACTATACTGGCATTCTGAAAGCTAATGTTTGCTACTTTCATTTTATACAGGTAGTAAACATTAATAATGTCTTTCATCTTTGAGTGGATCTACAATGGCTTCAGCAGCGTGCTCCAGTTCCTAGGTAAAGCCATTTCCTTGAAGTATAAAGGATTTCAAACTTTGTACATTTCCTTTAACAATTTAAATACAAATAGCCTTTGGTACGTAGCGAGCAGATTTATGTCAACAATTTTTTTCTTTTAGGACTCTACAAAAAATCTGGAAAACTTGTATTCTTGGGTTTGGACAATGCAGGCAAAACCACTCTTCTTCACATGCTCAAAGATGACAGATTGGGCCAGCACGTTCCAACACTGCATCCGAGTAGGTTTGAAAATACCAGGTGACCGTTTGATCTTTGAAGACCATTGTCAGGCTTGGAGGACGACTCCTTAGATGATTTAGTTCTAGTGTTAACTGAGGCCCTAAAAGCCACCTCCATTGAAAAAGTTCCCTATAGGACGTGCTCAGGTCACATGCTTGTAGATCTAAACCTCTGGAATTTTTGTCACCATTTTTGGCACTGATCCCATAATGGGACACATCTCCCATATTTACTTCCAAACAGGAGAGAAATACCTTGGAGAAAAACTTAAGAGTTTAAGAGTGTTTTTTACCCTGTATTTTTTTCTTTCTCTTTTTTTTTGTGAGACAGAGCCTCAAGCTGTCCTCCTGGGTAGAGTGCCACGGCATCACAGCTCACAGCAACCTCCAACTCCTGGGCTCAAGCAAGTCTCCTGCCTCAGCCTCCCAAGTATCTGGGACCGCAGGTGCCCCCCGCAACGCCCGGCTATTTTTTGGTTACAGCCATCATTGTTGTTTGGCGGGCCCGGGCTGGATTCGAACCTGCCACCTTAGGTGTATGTGGCTGGCGCCTTAGCCACTTGAGCCACAGGTGCCGAGCCTTCTTTCTCTGATTTTTGAGATGAAGTGTCTTTAACTCCTGGGCTTAAGCAGTCCTCCTGTCTCAGCTTCCTGAGTAGCTAGGACTGCAGGTGTACACCACCACACCTGGTTTTTTGTATCTTTTTCTTTACTAGATGAAAACTTGGTTAAGTTTTGCATTGGTATTGGCTTATGGTGCTGGTAGTTTGGCCTTGTTGGATTGAGAAGTTTATTTCTTCTTTTTTTTTTTTCCGAACAATTTTTCAGCATCAGAAGAGCTGACAATTGCTGGCATGACTTTTACAACTTTCGATCTTGGTGGGCATGAGCAAGGTAAGAGATGACTCCATGGAAGAATGGTATTGACTTACGATTCATTTTATGTGACCCCCTTTAAAGCAATGTATTATTTTTTACCTTTCAAATTATTTGCAGTTAGGATTGGGATCTGATCTTATTTCAGTGATGTTATTTATTCACTTAATATGTTTAAGTAATTTCAAACTTGTCAAAAATTGCATAAATAGGTAGCACCCGTAGCTCATTGGGTAGGGTGCTGGCCACATACACCCAGGCTGGCGGGTTTGAACTCAGCCTGGGCCTGCTAAACAACAGTGACAACTGCAACAAAAAACTAGCTAGACATGGTGGTGCACCTGTAGTCTCAGCTACACGGGAGGCTGAGGCAAGAGAATGGCCTAAGCCCAGGAGTTGGAGGTTGCTGTGAGCTGTGTGATGCCATGGCACCCTACCAAGGGTGACAGAGTGAGACTCTGTCTTCGAAAAAAAAAATTGCATAAATAATACCGAGAAGTCCACTCATGTATACCTTTTGGCTAGAGTTATTAGCTTCCTCTTCTCTCTGTAATATATATTGATGTTTATTTTTTCTGAACCATTTGTAATTATATTGTCCCTCTTAACCCCTTAACACTTAAGTGCCTGTTTCCTAAGAACAAGGATATTCTCTTATATAATCATGACATTTATCACTTCTATCTACTCTATAGTGTGTATTCCTTTTTTTCTTTAGTCAGTTGTTTTAATAATCTCATAGCATTTTTTCTTCTTGAATAGGTCCAGCACAATATCACATATTATATTTAGGTATCAAGTCTATCAAATCCCTTTTATATATTCTTTATTCAATGGAGTATAAGAATGTAGGAAATCAACTGATTATTTGTAAATTCATTTCAAACGTGTCAAAGTTGCAAAAATAATACAGTGTCAACATGTGACCACTTGATTGAGTTGATATTTTATGTGTATATCCCATTAGAGACAGTTAGAACATTTTCTTCTACCTTTCTGCTTTGCTTCTAAGTGATTTTTGCCTTCCTTAGGTAGGCTATGTCTTTTTGGTTCCCAGATTCCTATCAAGTGTTTTGTGTGTATTTTAGAGACATATAGAATGTCTTTTTTTTTCCCTTTGAGACAGAGTCCCACTCTGTTGCCCTGGGTAGGCTGTGGTGGCATCATAGCTCACAGCAGCCTTAAACTCTTGGGCTCCAGTGATCCTCTTGGCTTAGCCTCCTGAATAGCTGGGAATATAGGTGCCCACCACAATGCCAGGGTAGGTTTTTTATTTTTATTAGGGATGGGGTCTTGCTTTGCTCAGGCTGGTCTTGAACTCCTGAGCTCAAGTGGTCCACCTGCTTTGGCCTCCCAGAGTGCTAGGATTACAGGTGTGAGCCACTGTGCCTGGCCCAGAATGGACATCTTTGTTGCCTAGACACTTTATTTACATTTGGCAAGACTCTAGATGTAGGAGTAAAACATTTATGATATGGGAATAAACATTCTGGGAAGGCAGAGAAAAGAATCTATAGATACTCTCAGATTTACTCATTTTTATCATTAAATTGAGTTGAGAAGTTTCCTTTTGAAACACTGTATTAAGTTGAATCTAATAGTTTAAAAAATATATATATAGTTAAATCAGTATTCTATCATGTTTATAATTAGTAGACAAATAAGAGTGTGATTTGTTAGAGATAGGTGTGGTGGCTCATGCCTGTAATCTCAGCACTCTGGGAGGCAAAGGCAGGAGGATTGCTTGACCCTAAAGGGTTCAAGGCTGCAGTGAGCTATAATTGCACTGCTGTTTTCCAGTCGAGGCAACAGAGTGAGACTGTACTTCTATGAATTAAAAGAAAAAATTTAAGAAGGCCAGATGCTGTAGCTCATACCTATAACCCTAGCACTTTGGTGGGAGGCCCAGATGGGAAGATTGCTTAAGGCCAGGAGCTTCAAAACTAGCCTGGGCAACGTACAGAGATCCTCTCTACAAAAAATACAAAAATTAATTGGGTATAGTGGCTTAATTGTCATTGGCTTAATCATTGGATTATTGTTCCAGCTACTCAGGAGGCTGAGGCAGGAGGATCACTTGAGGCCAGGAGTTTGAGGTTGCAGTGAGCTGTGATGATGGCATTGCACTCTAGTCAGGGTGACAGAGCAAGACACTATGTATATCTCAAAAAAGTTAAATAGAATATTGGTTATTTTTATTTATTTATTTTTCAAGACAGTCTCACTATGTCACCTTCCGTAGAGTGCTGTGGCATCATAGCTCACAGTGACCTCAAACTCTTGTGCTCAAGTGATTCTCTTGCCTCAGCCTCCCTAGTAGCTGGGACTACAGGTACCTGCCATAACAGCCGACTATTTTTTTGTTTATTTAGCAGGTTCAGGCCTGGTTTGAACCACTAGCCACCAGCCTCTGTGCGTGTGGCTTATGCCCTAACCACTGAGCTATGGGTGCCGAGCCTTTCATTTTTATTTTTGAGATAGTCTTGTTATGTCCCGCTGGCTAGAGGGCATTGGTGTCATCATAGCTTACTGCAACCTCAAACTCCTAGACTAGGTGGTCCATCCACATCAACCTCCTGAGTAGCTGTGACTGCGAGTACACACCACCATGCCTGGCTAATTTTTCTCAAAGTGATCCTCCTGCTTTGGCCTCCCAAAGTGCTAGGATTATAAGCATGAGCTACCACACCTGGCCAATGTTGGTCATTTCTAATGGTTCAGTCTAATAATTTCATAGTTGGTGATTTTGTTAACATACAATTATACATTTATTCATTTAATATTTATATCCTGAAATGTAGTATGGTCATAATCATTTAAAATACCTGCAAGGAAAAAAGATTGGAAGAAAATATACTGAAACATTAATAGGGGATATGTTTGGATGGAGGGATTATAAATAATCTTATTTCCTTTTTTTCTATAATGAATTTATATTATTTTCATTTGGGTAGGAATGAGTATATAGTGTCTTTTCTGCTTCTTCCACAAGAAGGATTTGTTTTTTGAGACAGAGTTTCACTTTGTTGCCCTTGGTAGAGTGCTGTGGCATCATAGCTCACAGTAACGTCAAACTGTTGGGCTCAAGTGAGTCTTTTGCCTCAGCTCCTGAGTACCTAGGACTACAGGTGCCCACCACAAAGCCTGTGTATTTTTAGAGACACTCTTGCTCAGGCTGGTCTTGAACCTGTGAGCCCAGGCAGTCCACCTGCCTCAGCCTCCCAGAGTGCTAGGATTACAGGAGTGAGCCACCATGCCTGGCCCTCATAAGAAGGATTTGTAATTGCTTAGGCATTTAAATTCAGATAAGACTGAAGGGAAACCATCTGGAGAATGTGGAAGGAGTAGACACCATATGGTTTTAGATACCTGAGCTGGGAGTTGTAGAGTATTTAACATGATAAATTTAGCTTTCAGGTTGTGTTAAATAAGGAGGGAAATGTCTTTGATGTGTATATGGTTTTGCTTTGTTTGAGGAAATTTACATAACATACTAATAACCCAGCTGCCATTTTATGTTAGTTACTAAAATACCATTTAGGTGGAGTTTTCCCTTTTTATTTGTATAACTTTAAAATTTTTTTTTTTTTTTTTTTTGAGACAGAGCCTCAAGCTGTCCCCCTGGGCAGAGTGCCGTGGCATTACAGCTCACAGCAACCTCCAAGTCCTGGGCTCAAGCGAGTCTCCTGCCTCCGCCTCCCAAGTAGCTGGGACCACAGGCGCCTGCCACAACGCCCGGCTATTTTTTGGTTGCAGCCGTCATTGTTGTTTGGCGGGTCCGGGCTGGGGATTCGAACCTGCCACCTTAGGTGTATGTGGCTGGCGCCTTAGCTGGTTGAGCTATAGGCGCCGAGCCAACTTTAAAATTTTAACCTCTAGAACAGTATAGATTCAATGTATCAACTCAGTCATACAGAAATATGGAAAGTGAACGTTCCTCCAACTCTCCTTCCCAATCCCCCTCTCCATCTGTGCTTCCATATTTGTCATATTGCAAGGACTAGAAATGATGATACAACCAAAGCACTGCTCCTCAACTTTTATCCGGTTATGTCATAAACAAAAGTAACACTTACAAAGCACAGGTGCTGGGGTGGCTGGCCTGGATACTTCAGCCACTCATCAGGCCTAGTCCCCCTGAAGATTGTGCCAATAAGTGTATCAGCATATCCACACAGTAGTTGGTTAGAAACAAACTTGGGACTAAAGAAATATAATAGATAAATAATTTGTATCCTGATGCTTTTACTTAGAGGTTGCAAACTAAAATTGCTCCAAGGGCAAGGCAGTTCATTTATGTGAGTAAAATTGATTGGGTATAAGATAGTAGTAGTAGAAATTTTGGCAAACTGCAGAGCTCAGACATCATCCAGAGGGGCAGGCACTGTTCATTTTCAGCTGCTTATCCTGTGTAAGTAGACACAGGATTGCCAGATGTTGCAAATTTTCAAGGAAGGCAGAAACTCTGATTTTCAAATATACAAAAATCACATTCTGCTCATGGAGCATCAGTTGGCATCCTCTGTTTTAACTTTATCTTTTTCTGGCCAGGACTTTGAGAAATCTATGAGGAGTCTAATCTAATTGAAACGGGCCAAGATTTGGCCATTAGAGTATTAATTAATTTTATTAATTTTATATTAGAGTATATATATATGTATATAACTACATACTTTGCCTTTTAGCACGTCGGGTTTGGAAAAATTATCTCCCAGCAATTAATGGGATTGTCTTCCTGGTGGACTGTGCAGATCATTCTCGCCTCATGGAATCCAAAGTTGAGCTTAATGTAAGTTTATGTGTCCCCCCCCACTCCCTTTGGCCTCTGTTTCTTTTAAGGAATACAGCCTCGTATTGGCAGTACTGAATCATACTAACATTTGACAAAAAGTCCTAGTAGCAGGACGAAAATATTTTAAAATCTAAGACCTTGCTTTTAAGTGTCCTGAGGAAATTAAGTTTAAACTTGAATCACTTTGTTGTTTATATCATAGGGTAACTTTATGGCTGAGTTTATTTAGGACATTCCTTATTTATGCCTGTTAGTGGTGTCATGTAGGTATCATGTAGTCACTCTTTATACGCAGTGTTGGCACAGTGAGACCCTAGAACAGATATTAGAGTTCTTTACATTTTTCAAATTTGTATAAATTGATGGGGTACAAGTGTAATTTTGTTACATGTGTAGGTTGTAGAGTGGTCATTTCAGGTCTTTTGGGTATCCATCACCTGAATAACATACATTGACTCATTAAGTAACTTCTCAGCAGCCCCCTCCCCATATCATTCTTTACTTTCTGATCTGCGTTCTCAGGTCTTGCCTACCTATCCTCCCACTTGCCAGACCTTCACAGTTTGTTCTCAGTCTTCAGTTTTGATCACATACATCCTCTGATAATATCACTTCAAGTTTTCTCCTTTGTTCACATTGCATTTTCTTGGCTTCAAGGTTTCTGTAATACTGCTTCTGTTCTCCTTACTCCTTCACCTCATATGTCTTCTTTCTCTTGATTTGTCACTGTCTCACTGTATTCTGGTTCGTGGCAATTTGAACTTGTCTCACATTTGTAAGTGTATAGCTCTAGTCTCATGTAGAATTGCCTGCCAGACAGCTAGCTTGATCTCTTGGCACTGGTCATTGTCTCTCTCTCTCTCTCTTTTTTTTTTTTTTTTTTTTTTTTTTGAGACAGAGCCTCAAGCTATCCCCCTGGATAGAGTGCCATGGCATCACGCTCACAGCAACCTCCAACTCCTGGGCTCAAGCAAGTCTCCTGCCTCAGCCTCCCAAGTAGCTGGGACTACAGGCGCCCGCCACAATGCCCGGCCATTTTTTGGTTGCAGCCATCACTGTTGTTTGGCGGGCCCGGGCTGAATTTGAACCCGCCACCTTGGGTGTACGTGGCTGGCACCTTAGCCACTTGAGCCACAGGCACTGAGCCCATTGTCTCTCTCTTTAAACTTCCTTTTATACTCCTAATTTTGGTGTTATCTCTCTGGCTAATACTTCTCAGTCTTTCTCACATTTCTTTGCTTAATCTTTAAATGTTGATATTACTCAGGGTCCATATTTTCTCCCAGGCTGTTTTCATTTACTCCTATTTCTTTATCTGACAGTACATACCAGTAACTCTCAAATGGACTTCTCTTATCAGACCCCTCCCGAGTTCCAGCAACCTCCAACTCCTGGGCTCAAGCGAGTCTCCTGCCTCCGCCTCCCAAGTAGCTGGGACTACAGGCGCCCGCCACAATGCCCGGCCATTTTTTGGTTGCAGCCATCACTGTTGTTTGGCGGGCCCGGGCTGAATTTGAACCCGCCACCTTGGGTGTACGTGGCTGGCACCTTAGCCACTTGAGCCACAGGCGCCGAGCCGACAACTCCTTATATTGATTCTGTTTTCCTATAATGAAACTATTCATCTTCTCCTACCACCTGTCTGGATATGGAGTCCAAATCAGTATTTAAATTTCACCATGACCCTGATATGCAGTGTAATGTATAAGGACTTTTCTCAGGATTGACGCCCGTAGCACAGTGGTTAAGGCGCCAGCCACAAATACTAAGACTGGCAGGTTCGAACCCAGCCTGGGCCAGCTAAACAACAATGCCAACTGCAACAAAAAATAGCTGGGTGTTGTGGTGGGTGCCTGTCGTCCTAGCTACTGGGAGGCTGAGGCAAGAGAATTGCTTAAGCCCAAGAGTTTGAGGTTGCTGTGAGCTGTGACCCATACATAGTACTCTACTCAGGGCAACATAGTGAGACTCTGTCTCAAAAAAAAAAAAAAAAAAAAGGAACTGTCTCAGACTTGTCATTACCCTACTTAATATCTTCTGATAGTTCTCTATTTTCAGGATAAAAAATATAAATCTTTTGCATATCTCATAAAATCTTTCTTGATCCTCCCTTTGTTTATTTCTGTGGCTTCCTTTCTTTCCACTGTCTAGCTTGACCTATATTTCAACAAAGAAAACAACTTGTACTTCCTTGAATATGTACAAGTAGCTGTTCTGCCTGGCTTTCTCACCTGTACCCACTCCCAACCCCTTTTTGCTGGCAGATTTTAAAATGTCCTTTAAAGGCCTTAGAGTTCAGATATAACCACTTCCCTGACTCTTAGATTGCATTAGACTCCCCACCTTACCAATATCTGTTGTCTTCAGTGTTTTCTTATTGGTCCCTATGGTGGGGACCAATATGGCCAAAGCATATTCCCCCTTTATCCCTTCAGCTGTGTCCCTCCCTCCCCCGACTTTTCTGTTGGTGAGAACTAGATACCCATGATTTAGATTTGTGCCAGCTTTGACTTTGTTTTTTTTTATCATTTAGACAGTCATTTCTTCTTTCTTTAAAATGCCTCCTGCACTATCATTCAATGCTCTGCCTTAGGCTGGGTCCTCATCTCTTACATAAGCACCACAGATACTCTTTGTGAATTCCTTATACTGAAAGTACAGATTTTGTTCACCAACTTCTGGATTTGTGCTCTTTACTATCTATTGCAGCTAATTTCTCAGACTGTTGCTGTAGTTGGAGTCATCCTTTCCCATCTCATTTACTTTGTCACTGCTTGTTAATATAAATGCTATAATCCAGCCACACGGTACTCTGTGTGACTTCCTGAATCCTTACCCTAGTGCAAAGCTATTCCTTTTTTTACTTTTCTACCTATCTTAAATCCTGCTCTTTCTTTAAAACCCAGTTTAAGTTCTAAATCTTTGCTAAGACTTTCCTCAAGCTAAAATTGTCATTTTATTTCTTTGAATTTGCTTTAATAATAATATTCTGTCACTGTTCATTTGACACTAAATCCATTATGTTATGTTCTTAGCTTTGTCAACATAAATGTGAACATAAAGTAAGGATTCTTTGAGGATAGGGATGTGTCTTACCCTTCCTTTTGTGTCCCTCTCAGTGCCTAAGATAGTTTTTTGTGCACGTTGTGCACTCAGTGAATATCTGCAGAATTCCTGTAGTCATCTTCGAAACTCTGTAGACAGAGCATTCATTTTTAGAATTGTGCTCAATTAATATGCTTAGCATAGTTTGTGAATGAGAGAATTAGCTTAAAAGTTGGGGCAGCTCTGCCTGTAAATAGTCCAAGTGGCAGTTATTTTGAGGTACTTAGAGGACTTCTAACTCATGTCGGGAGTATTTTATAATGTCAAGATGAACTTTTAATCACTTAGATATAAAGATGACCAGATTTTTACTTTACACTTAACACCTTAGAAGATTAGTAGAAGTCAAAATTTTCATTATCTGGTGGGCTTTTATATTAGCTTTTTTTTTTTTTATTGCTGGGGATTCATTGAGGGTACAAGAAATTAGGTTACACTGTTTGCATTTGTTAGGTAAAGTCCCTCTTAGAATCATGTCTTGTCCCCAAAAGGTGTGGCAAACACCAAGACCCCACTCCCCTCCCTCCTTTGCTCTCTCTGCTCTTCCTTTCCCCACCGCTCCCTCCTCCTTTCTCTCTCTGCTCTCCCCTCCCCGCCACCGTGTCATTAATTGTCCTTAGAGCTCTTATTTTTTTTACCTTTAGGCTTTAATGACTGATGAAACAATATCCAATGTGCCAATCCTTATCTTGGGTAACAAAATTGACAGAACAGATGCAATCAGTGAAGAAAAACTCCGTGAGATTTTTGGGCTTTATGGACAGACCACAGGAAAGGTAAGAGAAAAATCTTCAGGGGACAGTTACAGCTTTTAAAACATGATGTTTTGCTGCCTGGATTCTAGTTTTCTTTCAGAAGTTTAAATAGGGTTAGGATTTTTTTGTTTTTTTAAAAGAAGTACAGTTTATTTTTGAAAGAAAGAGTAGAAGGGAGGGAGGGAAGGAGCAGAGAAAGGAAGAAGGAGAGGAAGAAGATTAAGATTTATTTTATTATGGGTATTTTGTAAGCTTGCTGAGGGCAGGAGCATGCTTTCTGTTTTCTAGTGGGATTCATTCCATTCAGGTATTTGAGGAAGAAGGAAAGGGTAGAAAAGATAAACTTACTCCTTTGAGAATTTTCTGATTATCTTTCAAATCTGGTTCTGAGAAATCTCTTTGGAAAGAGCCCTTAGCCTGAAAAGAAATTGTTTTAACTGGAGGTTTCAGGTTATAGAAAAGAGTAATCATTTATACTGCTTCTAAGCATTGAAATCACAGCATTGGATTATCCTCAGTGCTGCTTGCTGAGAGAGATAGGACTGTTACCTGATTTTTTTCAGGTGAGAACTCATCTTCCAGTAGGAGTTATGCTGTCTTCAGTTGGAAAGAAGACTCTGTTGTAGAAAAGCAGGCTTGTGAGAAAGAAAATCTAGATCAGATAAAATTAAGCAGGAATCATTCTGGTCTTTTCAGCCTGGGGGGTTTGGTATATTTAATGTTTTAAAATCTTCCTTTCTGGGCAGCGCCTGTGGCTCAAAGGGGTAGGGCCCTGACCCCATATGCCGGAGGTAGCGGGTTCAAGCCCAGCCCCGGTCAAAAAAAAAAAATCTTCCTTTCCTGGCTTGGCGCCTGTAGCTCAGTGAGTAGGTGCCAGCCACATACACCGAGGCTGGTGGGTTTGAGCCTGGCCTGGGCCTGCTAAACAACAATGATGACTGCAACCAAAAAATAGCCAGGTGTTGTGGTGGGCGCCTGTAGTCCCAGCTACTCAGGAAGTTGAGGCAAGAGAATCGCTTAAGCCCAAGAGTTTGAGGTTGCTGTGAGCTGGGATGCCATGGCACTCTACCCAAGGTGACATAGTGAGACTCTATCTTAAAAAAGAAAAAAAAATCTTCCTTTTCTGTAATCTGTGATAACTTTCTGGCTTTTTTTTCCCCCTTGATATAGCACCATGGTGTCATAGCAACCTCAAACTTGGGTTTAACAATCCTCTTGCTTCAGTGCCTGTTATAACATCCACCTAGGTTTTAGAAACAGGGTCTCACTCTTGCTCAGGCTGGTCTCAAACTCACAAGCTCAAGCAATCCACCTGCCTCAGCCTCCCAGAGTGCTAGGATTACAGGCATGAGCCATGGCACCTGGCACTTTCTGACTTACTAGTTCCTTAGTCTTGCCTCTTTTTGGTTATCTGTTTGTTTCTGGAAATGTTCCTTCAGTTCATTGAGTTTGTCCTCTTTTGCATGAACGTTACTTATACATAAATTCTTCTTAATTTCCTGATGGCCACCTATTAATTCTAAACAGTCTCAGACCACTTTTGCTCATCAAAGAATATGTGAGTTCCATGGATCCCAGTGGCTTTTTCTTGGTTTGCTGCCATAACTTTCCAGATGAATGTTAGGTTCAAAGCAGCTGCTCTTTACAGAAAGGCTGGGAATAGAACTGTGTGGCTTATTCTATTCTGAAAGCTAGAAACCCTGGGGAAGTCATATGCATGGTCTTGACCACCTTTTCAAGCTTTTCCATCATAGAGATGCTAACAGGCCTTTCTTGGTTTTGCCTCCTTTAGGGGAATGTGACCCTGAAGGAGCTGAATGCCCGCCCCATGGAAGTGTTCATGTGCAGCGTGCTCAAGAGGCAAGGCTACGGCGAGGGTTTCCGCTGGCTCTCCCAGTATATTGACTGATGTTTGGACAGTGAAAATAAAAGAGTTTTACTTCTCTGGACTGATCCTATTCACAGCTTCCTCATGAACTTTTCTAATAGAACAAGAAAAGCTCTCCAACCAAGTCTGGCGTTGAGAAGCCAAGAGTCTTTGTCAACTCTCTCATTGCCCAGTGGTGACATGTGCTCTTCTCCACACTTTTGGGAGGTAATGCTGCCCCATGTGCTGGTGCAGGTCAGGATCCCAGGACTTGGAAGCTGGCAGAATTTGCCGGGTAAAACTGTGTGCCATCATGGGGCACCTGAAAAGAAAAACACGTCTCACCACTGTGGTTGATTTCAAAGAAAGTGATTCTATTTTTTAAAGAAAGTGTTGTTAATGTAATTGGTATCCCTCTTAATTTTTTAAGTTCACAATTTACTTGGTCCAGAGTTTAGTATTCTTTTTTTTTTTTTTTTAACTAATGAGTGGCATTTAGATACTTCATAAAATTATGAACAGATGCATATTGGAGGCCATAACTCAGGCAGGTGAGTTAGGTTGAGGAGAGAAGCTCTCCTGAGCTCACCTGTCTCTATGACTACCTTGTAGTAGGTGGCATCACCTTGTGCACAGAAAACTAGAAAAGGGGCAGAACCCTGGCCTCGCAGTTATAGCAGGTTTCCACTGTGGTAAGCTCATCAAAGAATGTGTAGTAGGTTGTTCACTGAGGAGGAGTTAATTATAGAGTGGTTATTATTATTGTTATTTTACTTACAAAATAATAGATTTCAGCCAGTCTTTGCTTTTATACTGTTGTGAAATTTCATTTCTCCATAGCATCGTCCATTTTCAAGTAATTTTTCACTTCATGAAAAAGGTGAGACCATCTCGTGTCGTCACATACTGCAGGTGTGTCTGTTACTTTTGCACGGATTCTAGGGGGAAATATTTCTGAATAGGAGGACAAAGAACACATTAAGAGCTCTTAATTCTGTGAGTTGAGGACTTAAAATCAGTTACTATAGTGGTTGTGTGAGTTTAGGAAAGATGTACTGAGTGGGCTTTAAAATTTTCACTTGTAGAATTTGGTCTCTATTGGGCTGTTCATGAGTCTTTTTCTTAAATCTTTTCTCCTTATTATCTATTTCTTTCATTGGTATTTAAAGTAAAAGTTAACATCTATAGTTTTTCCAGATTTGGGTGGGGGTTGGTATGAAATTGCCTTTCTCCAGCTCAGAAATAATTTGGGGAAAACGTTAACTCAAACACTTCCTGTAGAACTCTTCCTTTGGAGGCAGCATCAGTTATTGTCACGGAAGACCCAGTATAAAAGCATCAGCATCCCCAGTGGGGGGATGAGGATTATTTTTATATAGCATTCCATTTTCTTAGTGCCATGTGTGAAATTGGATTTTCATGATCTTAATCTATACCCTTGTAGTAAAAGATGAAAGGCTAGGAGATGGTCTTAAGATGAGAGGTTGTCATTTTTCCCTTCATAACAGATTAGAGGTTGTTTCCTCAGAATTTAAAATTGTAATGATGATGCTTATTTGTGGAGGATTGAACTAAATTCAGTGGATTTCTTCTACTACCAGGGTACGGAAGGTGTGGATAACATTACTGGGGTGAGAGAGTATCAGTGTTTAGTTGGATTTCTCATTCTTAGCCTTCAGTACTGACCTGTTAGGAAAGCATACTTTCTCACTGCCAGGTACTGAATGCAGAGGCTCAATGGCATATATGTCTGCGAAGTGCATGCATTTCATTTATTAGCAAGCATAGCTGGATTAAGATAAAATTATTGGTTTGGAAAGGTGTTAAGCCTTAAGTGAACAAGTCTAGCTGTGAATGAATTAGGTAGTCAACTTGCATACCTTTTTTATTTCCTCTGGTTAAAGGTTACCCATATTTCTCTGTTCAGAGACATGAGAAGTATGATTGCTTCAGTGTTAGTTTTCTTACTTTTATTTTTTTCCCTAATCACTTTGTTGCAAGCTAGACAACTATGGGTTCCACATAGGACAACTCTTTGTGAAAGTGGTTTATTCCACTGGAGAAAGAGGGGATCGAAAAGTCAATTAGCATCAGTCTATTTCTTGTCCCACAGAACACCATTTTTATAATAAAATAAATGAAAGAAGCTGCTGTGAGGAGCTTAGCTCTAAACGTGGGATCAGAGCCTTGTATGGGAACTCCCATGAGTTGAGACTTTTCATTCTGTTTTATCAGAGTGCATATATGTCCTATTTCAGGAAGAGTAAAACAGTCATTTACAAAAGAAAGTCAATCTGTATTCTAAGCATTTTAATAAAAAGTTAAAACAAACTTGCTATTTCTTTTTTCTTTGTTTTGCATTGGTTGGGTTCTGAGTTCTGAGTTTGAACAATGTCATTTGTTCGGGTTTGGCCAGGGGAGACAAAAGTTCTTCCTACATATAGGAAGAAACTTTTAGGGTAGGTATGAGGTACTTGAATTTTGCCACCAGAGGGAAAAAAAGGCTGACTCACTATAAGTAATAGATTTAGTACTTGAAAGTCTTGGAACATGCTGTGGACCCAAGGTTGTTGATCATCTCTAAAACATGCTTGCGGGGACTGAGTTTAGCTTTGTTTCATGCATCATATAACAAAAGTAGAATCAATTGAATGCTACATTTGGCAAAATAAGCGAAGGCATCTGTTCTTGTGCATTTACTAAATTTGTAAGGAGCCTTGCTTTTAGAAAACTCTAAATGAAATCCTGAAACTAAAGTAGGACAAATAGAATGGGCAACAAAGTGCAACAGGTTTTTTTCAACCAAGTAATGTTTAAGGTGTCTTTTTTTTTTTTTGAGACAGTCTACTTTGTTGCCCTTGGTAGAGCGCCTTGCCATCATAACTCACAGCAACCTCAAACTCTTGGGCTCAAGAGATCCTCTTGCCTCAGCCTCCCGAGTAGCTGGGACTACAGATGTTCACAATGTCCAGCTAGTTTAAGGTGTCTTGTCTCTTACTGTGAAAGGATGCCATGGGTTCTGTGGGTAAATGGGTTTGTTTTGAGGCAAAATGAAACGTGAAGATTAAAAGCTGAGTCAATGAGCCTAGCACTCAAGAGCTCTCACTTTGGCTGTTCCTGGCTGTGACTTGGAACTTCTCCGTACTGTGGTCTACTGTAAACACGGAAAAACCTGACACATAACCGTTAATGCTGGAGGCTTGAGCGTCGTTAAAGGAAAATTAATGGGCTCTAGAGAGAGTTTAATTGCTAAGAAGTTAGGAAAATTAACAGATACTGCTGTGATCAAGCCATCTTTTGTGTCACAGAACCAAAAGAATTCAGTGCCTACTCTGGCAAGACTTCTTAATTTCAGTTCTACCTCATGCTATCAGGAATAATTCTTAAACAGGTTTGTATCACTGAGAGCCTTAAGAACATTATCCATATATTGTGCTGGGACTGCACCAAACAACATTAAATTCAAAGAATTAAGGCAGAAAGTGTATGGAATTTAAGTAGCAGTTGAGTATGTTTTTATTGATGTGTGTACTAATCTTAATAAAAATTAATGTGTATTTTAGTGTTACAGTGATAAAGCAGACCTTTGTAAAATGTCCAGCTTGTGGTGACTGCTTAGGAATATGATGAAAGCCTCCCTAACAGACTTGTGCATGCTCCTCTGTCCTAAAGAAAGTTTTGTTAGCTTAAATTAGAGATAGCAAACTATGGCTTGTGTACCAAATCTGGCCTGCTGTGTATGTATGTATGTATGGCCTGTGAGCTAAATGGTTTTCTACTTTTAAATGGTTGAAAAAATTAAGAGAATAATGCTATTTTTTGACACATGAAAATTAAAATTTCAATGGCCATAATTTTTTTTGAAACATAGCCACTGCCTGCCAGTCCAAGAGCTTGAGGTTGCTGTGAGCTGTGATGCCATGGCACTCTACCCAGGGTTGACAGCTTGAGGCTCTGTCTCAAAGAAAAAAAATTAGCTAGATTTTGTGGTGTGCACCTGTAGTCCCAGCTACTCAGGAGGCTGAAATGGAATCCCTTGAGCCCAGGAGTTTGAGATTGCAGTAAGCCGAGATGACAACTGCACACTCTATCCAGGACAACAGAGTGACGCTCTGTTAAAAAAAAAAAAGTATATATATTTATGCATATGTAAATTTATATATAAATATATAATTGTATAATATATAAATTTTTGTGTATATGTTATATTTTAACTTCAGTCACTTTTCATCATAATTTATTCATCATAAGGGCAACTTAATTTATAGCAAATCCAGTTTTTTGTTTTTTTTTTTTGAGACAGAGTCTCACTATGTCACCCTAGGTAGAGTGCTGTAACATCACAGCTCACAGCAACCTCAAACTCTTGGGCTTAAGGGATTCTCTTGCCTCAGCATCCCATGTAGCTGGGGCTACAGACGCCTGCCACAATGCCCAGCTACTTTTTGGTTGTAGTTGTCATTTTTGTTTAGCTGGCCTGGGCCTTGTTCAAACCCTACATCCTCCGTGTATGTGGTTGACGCCATAACCACTATGCTACAGGTGCCGAGCCAGAGCAAATCCAATTTTAATGAGATTTGTTATGGTGGGGCTTTGGCAGCAAAAAGTCCTGGGAGTAACCCTGAGAGCCCCATGCCTCCTGTTGGATTCCTCTAAGGCAGTGATTTTCAACCCGTGTCCCGTGGCACACTGGTGTGCTGTTAGAGGATCTTAAGTGTGCTATGAAAAATTTTAAAGATCATTAATTATTTTTGAAAAGTTCAAAGCACGCTAAGTATATTCTTTTTTTTAATTCTTTTTTTTTTATCAACATAATTTAAGTGTGCCATGGAAATTTGTAGGTTGAAAACACTGCTGTAGGGTTTACTTTCAAAATTTCAAAATACTGAATCGAATAGGCCCAGGATTGATTTCCTTGGTCGGTATTATCCCCAGAAATCAGAGAGTAAAGGTCGCCTAGACCTGGGCAGATGCTAATAGGTTCTGTCATGGCCTGGGGAAGTCTAGCCAAGCGCTCACTTCTGTTCCTCCTGCAGCACAACAAACAGTATAGACTGTAGACCGGGAGGGACCCGCCCCTTCCCTCCGCCCCCGCCTCGTCCCTCCGCCCCTTCCCTTCTTTCCCACGATTCCCAGTAACCTCGAACACCAGTCGCGTTCCCAGGGCTCATTTTAGGGATGATTGCTTAATCTAGGTCCCACAGGTTGGATGAACCAGAGGGCGGGGAAAAGACGGGGGTCAGGGTCGACAGCCAATCAGGGCTCGGCACAAGCCCAGCCAATCAGGTCGGGTCAATTGGGGCTTAGCCAATCGGGCTTCACGAGGAAGGCCTGTGTCAGTACCTGCGCCTCTCCCTTCCAGCTGTGGAAGGCGCTGCACGAGTTCAGGTGGGCAGGTCCGGGCCAGGTCTGGATGCTCGCTCGCTCGCTTCCTCTCGGCCAATCTTCGGGTGTCCGGTTTCGGAGCTCATGGGGAGGCAGTGGGGATCCTCCATGAGGGCGGCCGAGCAGGTGGGCTGCGTGGTGAGCGCCTCCCGAGCCGACCAGCCTGAGGCAGGCTCTTGGAGCTGCAGCGGGGTGATCCTCAGCCGCAGCCCGGGACTGGTATTGTGCCACGGGGGCATCGTCGCCCCTTTCCTACGGGCCGGCAGCGGGGCCCTGACCACGGCTGGCGCTGCCTTCCTGCCCGGCGACAGCTGCAGCGACGATTTACGCCTGCACGTGCAGTGGGCCCCAACGGCCGCTAGTCCCGCGGGCCGCTCGGAGCGGGCCCTCCCGGGGCTGTGCACACCTCACTGCGCTGGCCTCGAGCCGGGCCCGCCTGCCCGGTCCCGCGGGCGGCCCCTACAGTCCCCGCGCCCCGCCGAGCTGCTGTTGCTGCTGAGCTGCCCGGCTTTCCGGGCCCACTTCGCGCGCCTCTTCGGTGGCGAGACGGCGGACCAGTGGCGCTTCGCGAACGCAGCGCGGGACGATGAAGTGTCGGAGGACGAGGAGGAGGATCAGCTGAGAGCGCTGGGCTGGTTCGCGCTGCTGCGGGTGCAGCCCGGCCAGGAAGCGGCGGAGGAGGAGCGTGGGCCGGCCGTGGCCGTGGCGCCTCTCGGGGCTGTGCCTAAGGGCGCGCCGCTGCTGGCCTGCGGCTCCCCGTTCGGGGCCTTCTGCCCGGACATCTTTCTCAACACGCTCAGCCGCGGCGTCCTCAGCAACTCTGCCGGCCCGCTGCTGCTCACCGACGCGCGCTGCCTCCCGGGTACGGAGGGCGGCGGCGTGTTCACTGCGCGGCCCGCGGGGGCGCTCGTGGCGCTGGTGGCGGCTCCACTCTGCTGGAAGGCCCGCGAGTGGGTGGGCCTCACGCTGCTGTGCGCCGCCGCCCCGCTCCTCCGTGCCGCCCGCGCCGCGCTTGGCGGTCTGTGCCCCGGCATCGCTTCTCTGGCCACCCTTCTGCCACCCGAGGTGGGCACACCGTGGGGCCTGCCCCTCCTAGACCTCGGGCCCCCGTGGACAGCCGCGTCTGTGCTGGTGGAGTGTGGCACTGTATGGGGCTCTGGAGTGGCCGTGGCTCCCCGCCTCGTGGTGACCTGCCGTCATGTGGCTCCTCGAGAGGCAGCCAGGGTCCTTGTGCGCATCGTCACCCCCAAGTAAGGCCCTCAGGGCTGCCATAACTCTGACCTTACCGGGTCTCAGATCTGGACCCAGGCCTTCCCGCTCTGAGGATTGTGCAGGCCTTTCCATCAGCGTCATGCTGATGCTTTGGGCATGTAGTGTGGGTAGAGACCTGGAATCCTCCTCACACCCTTTACACCCCAGTGAGGAGGACTAAGGGAGCTGGGGCAAGAAGTCAGGCGCCAAGCAAAGTCTTTGGGAACTGGAGGGCTCCCTGTATCCAGGACTGGACATCTTTGAGCTCCCTTCACAATCTGAATTCCTCTGTCTAGTAGTCCCTGTGCCCCACAACCCATTGTTGTCTGGTCCTTTGAAGAGACATTTCCTTACCCTACCCGCATCTCCCCAGATGTCGATTTTTTTTTTTTTTTTGAGACAGAGTCTTACTCTTACCCTGGATAGAGTGCTTGGAGCCATAACTCTTAGCAACCTCAAACTCTTGGGCTCACGTGATTCTCTTGCCTCAGCCTCCCCAATAGCTGGGACTACAGGTACCTGCCACAAAGCCCGGCTAGTTTTTCTATTTTTAGTAGAGATGGTCTTGCTCTTCTTGCTCAGGTTAGTCTAGAACAGGGGTCCTCAAACTTTTTAAATAGGGGGCCAGTTCACTGTCCCTCAGACCGTTGGAGGGCTGGACTGCAGGCCCTGGGACAAATCAGCTTCTAAGTAGGACAGGCAGCGGTGGCAAAAACACCCGGCGGGCTGGATAAATGTCCTAGGCGGGCTGCATGTGGTCTGCTGGCTGTAGTTTGAGAGTGCCTGGCTGGAACTTCTGAACTCAGGGGATCTACCTTCCTTGGGCTCCCAGAGTGTGAAGATTACAAGTGTGAACCTTGGTGCCCAGCCTCCTGCATCTCCTCTGAAAGTGGTAAAGTGACAAAGACAAAAATAGAAAAACAAAAACCAAAAAGTGGTAAAGTGCAGGCCCAGGACTGCCCTCTGGGGTAATGAGATGGGCCTGTTAATTTATTTTTAGCATAGACAGAGCTTCCTTTCTGGATGAAAATTAGAGGTGTTGGCTCAGCACCTATACCTCAGTGGTATAGGCCAAATACACTGAGGCAGGTGGGTTTGAACCCAGCCTGGGCCTGCTAAACAACAGTGACAACTGCAACAAGAAAATAGCCAAGTGTTGTGATGTGTGCCTGTAGTCCCAGCTACTTGGGAGGCTGAGAATCGCTTAAGCCCAAGAGTTTGGGGTTGCTGTGAGCTGTGACACCATGGCACTCTACTGAGGGTGACATAGTGAAACTGTCTCAAAAGAAAAAAAAGAAGTGTTGGGCAGGGCACAGTGGCTCATGCCTGTAATCCTAGCAATCTGGGTGGCTGAGGTGGGTGGATTGCCTGAGCTCACAGGTTGGAGACCAGTCTGAACCAGAGTGAGACCCCCACTTCTAAAAATAGGTGTTGTGGTGGGCACCTGTAGTCCCAGCTACATGGGAGGCTGAAGCAAAAGAATCACTTGAGCTCAAGAGTTTGAGGTTGCTTTGAGCTATGATGCCATAGCACTCTACCGAGAGCGACAAAGTGAGACTCTGTCTTACTTTGTCCAAAAAAGAAAAGAAAATTAGAGTTGTTGAGTTCCTCCTAATTAGAATAAAGGAAGGGCTTAGGCAGATATATTCTGAGCAATCTTTGGGTGATCCTGGTGGGCATCTAGGTTGGGACATCTGCTGACAGTCATTTGTTCTCTTTGCAAGGAGTAGTTCCCTTACCTTCCTTACTTCTACTGCTCTGATAGTGGGGACAGTGGCCTTGGCTTCCTGGCTTAGTTTTCTAGTACCTATTCTGTTTCCTCTGCAGCCCTAGTGCTTAACTCAGGCCAAAGCAAAGCAGTATATAGCACTTTGGTGCCTGAGGTTTTCTTGTACTTGGTTTAACCCAGCCTTGCAGCCCAGGCCTTTCCAAATCTCTCCTGAATCCCAGAGGTTAGCCCACTGTAGGTAACCTAACTGGCTTTGCCATAGAGGTCCTGACTGGTGGCCTACATAAAGGACAGCCATGATTTTATAGGGAAGGCTAATGAGGATTTCCCTGTGTTTTGTCCCCCAGATTCTTCCCTGCTTCTAAGGAAACCACTGGGTCTGCTGGAAGCAATCCCTACAGAGTATGTAGGAGGACATCCTGTGTGATCTTGGGCAAATTGCTTGATCTCTCTGAGCTACCTGCCCCTGAGTTGACACAGAAAGTCTTGCAACTGAGCCTGGCATGTATTGTACTACAGAAGTGCTCACATCTATGTAGGGAGGGACCTGGAGGGGTAAAAACACATCTTGTCTGCCCCACCAACTGATGAGATTGTTCAGGGTATCAATAGGGCAAGGAAGAAATATGCTGGTATGTTAGTTCTGATTCCTTCCACTTGCTCTATGACCTTGGGAAAGCAGCTCAATCTCTCTGGGCCTCAATTGCACCCTCTAAAATGGAGGCAATACTAGTACCTAGGGCTGTGATTAAATGAAGTTATGTCTGCAAAGCGTTAGGCTTGGTCTAGCGTGCTCATTAAGTGTCAGGTGTTCATTGTCATGGTGAAGTACAGGAAGCTTTACCTAGGAGTTTACAGTTTATAAACCACATTTGCAGATGCCAAGGAATGGTTAAGTGACTTGCCCAGAGTTGCCTGACTGGTAGGTTTCAGGGCTGACACCCAGATCTCTGACTCTAAGTCTCTGATGTTTACCGTCACTCTTTCAACTCTTTGATTTCCCCTAAGGGTCCGAAAACTACCTTGTCATTTCTCTCATTTGCTCTCAGGAGTGTAACGATCTGGGGACAGGTGGTATTTGCCACCCAAGAGACTTCTCCTTATGACATAGCAGTAGTGAGTCTGGAGGAGGACCTGGATGATGTCCCCATGCCTGTGCCTGCTGAGCACTTTCATGAAGGTAAAGGACAAAGGCTGCATCCTGAAGGAAGGCCCCTGTGGTCCGGGGTGGTCCTTGGGTGGGAGAATCAGTGTTGGGCCCTCTAACTGTGCCAGACCAGGGGCCTGGGCCCCTGGGCCAACTCCCTTCTCCACCCTTGCTGAATTAAGGAGTTAGGGTGGCATTGGTTGAAGTTCTTGGAGGCCTCTCTGCTTGTGCCAGCATATCCAAGGTGATGGGGGCAGGTGGAGTACCTGTGAAAGGTAAGGCAGCTCCCTCCCTCAAGTGCCAGCCCTGGTATAGTGTGGGGGTGCTGGGCCTTGGGACCTTCTAACACTTGGTTGGTCAGAGAGGTGTGTGGCACTTGAGGCTCCAGGAGCACAATTTGAGTAACTTGCTTTGTAATGCCACCACATCCGTACCGGAAGTCCCACTTCATAGAGGCAGTAGGACATGGCAATGAAGAGTGCAGGTACTCTGGATTGGTATTTTTCCTCTGCCATTTGCTAGCTCTGTGTCCTCCGAGAGACAACTGTTCTCTGCCTCAGTTTTCTCATCTTTAAAATGGGGATAATGCACTCTACTCCTGTGCATTGTGAGGACTTGGTGAGATGTTGCCTATAAAGCCCTTGGGAAAGGAAATTGGTGGTTGCTTTATAGCCATCATCATTTCTTTTCCCAAGAGACTTCTCGGGATTCCCAGGAGGAGTTTGATATTAATTCTGCAAACATTCTCTGAACACTTAGCTAGGTGCTAGGAACCCCAAAAAGTGACTGCCCAGTCTGGCAAGGGAAGGAGAATGGAGAACAGCCTGATGCTCAGGAGTAGAGCACACATAGTGCTAGGAGCTCAGTGGAGTTGCCAGCCTCTTCCTGCAGTGGATCTGTGGAGGTGGAAGTGGCTGAGCAGAAGTGCCAAGGGCAAAGAGAGTGTGGATCTTTGGAGAAGATAGGGATGGGGGTGGGGGATCGTGAGCCCTGATAAAACAGATACCCCAGCATCGCTTTCCTTCCCTCCTTGGCAGGTGAGGCTGTCAGCGTGGTGGGCTTCGGTGTCTTCGGCCAGGCTTGTGGGCCCTCAGTGACCTCGGGCATCCTGTCTGCTGTGGTGCAGGTGGATGACACACCAGTAATGCTGCAGACCACATGTGCTGTGCATGGCGGCTCCAGTGGGGGACCTCTCTTCTCCACCCATTCGGGGGTCCTCCTTGGTAACTAGCTTCTTGGCCCTCTCCCATCTTCCACCTTGCCAGACCCTCAGTCCCACTTAGTGGTTGTGTCCAGCGCAGGAACACCCTCAGTCTGAAAAGGTGGTGAGCCTTTTGAGTTGGGTAGCCAAGGTTTTCAGACTGTTCTGCTCCAGAGGATGGAGAGGGAGTGATGCTGAACTGGGAGGGAAGAGGGATGGCCTCTAGTCCCTTCTCTGCCACTAATCTATTTTGTGACCTTAGATAAGTCACTTAATCTCATTTGATCAATGAAATTCAGCAGTTGGATTAGTCCAAGGGTCACAAACTGAAAAGCCCGCAGAGGCTGGGCAGGTGGAGTAAAGGAATGAGTGAACAGGGAGGCGGGAGGCAGGTCAGGTAGATTGGACACGTGCTGCTCAGCTGCAGTGGATGGCAGCTTTGTGTTGACTGCTTTTCTAGTATTTCACAAGATGCTGTGAACTTTTTTCTTTTAAAATGTGATTGTTAAATCCTTAAATTTTGGTAACATTCAGTTTTTTTTAAAAAATAAGGTCTGAAGCTGGAAACAGTGACTCACACCTATAATCCTAGGACTCTGGGAGGCTGATCCCTTGAGCTCAGGGGTTTGAGACCAGCCTGAGAGAAAGTGAGATCCTGTCTCTACTAAAATAGAAAAAATTAACTGGGTGTGGTAGTGTGAGCCTATAGTCCCAGATACTTGAGAGGCTGAGGTATGAGGATCGCTTGAGCCCAAGAGTTTGTGGTTGCTGTGAGCTATGGTGATGCCACTATACTCTGGTTGGGGTAACAGAGGAAGACTCTATCTCAAGAAAAAATATATAGGGCCTGTTTAGCTATTTTAAAAAAACCATGAGTTCATGTAGAAACCTCCAACTCCGGTCCAGCACCATGGGGTTTGTGCTAGTTTTTGTCATTTCTAACTTTCCTTGTTTCTTAACTTCTTTCGTCTATAGTGAGAAACCTTGTTCTTACTGTCTATAATATATTTACTTATTTTTTTAACCCTAGTATACACATACAGTAGTTTTCAGAATTTCTATCCCACATACCTGTGAGCAACAAATTTACCATCTGGAGTAGAGTGTTAGAATGTTTGTGTTCTTGTTTTTAGCCTTATAGTCTAAACACTGTTTTCCAAAGTTGCTTAGGTCAGCTTGCTCCTTTCTTCCCTTTAAGGATGCTTCTGTTATTCATGTGTAATAGTTAGAATCATTTGTCACAGTTTTTTCCCGTGTTCATTCCCCACCCCCCTGCATATCCTGGTTGACTTTTCTTTCTTTTTTTTTTTTTTTCCAGACAGAGCCTCACTATGTCAAACTCAGTAGAGTGCTGTGGTGCCACAGCTCACAGCAACCTCAAACTCCTGGGCTTAAGTGATTCTCTTGCCTCAGCCTGCTGTGTAGCTGGGACTACAGGCATCTGCCACGATGCCTGGCTTTATTTTTTTGTTGTTGTTGCAGTTGTCATTGTTGTTTTAGCCGGCACAGGCTAGGTTTCAACCCGCCAGCCTTGGTGTATGTGGCCAGCGCCCTACCCACTGAGCTATGGGTGCCACCCCTGGTTGACGTTTCAAACCATATGTACAGATAAGTAGATACAGAAATATAATAAATATGGATGTATGTGCATAAGTTAGTGTATATACACATATATACACAACTATGTCCTAACTCTGTCCACTGATGGGCTAGAAGCAATGATATTTCAGTTGCAATAGTATCTAGAGCCCAGACTTGAGTTTCTATTATTATCATTATTATTATTATTTTGAGACAGAGTCTCATTTCGTTGTCCTGGGCAGAGTTCTGTGGTGTCATAGCTCACAACAACCTCAAACTCCTGGGCTTAAGTGATCTTCTTGCCTCAGTCTCTGGAGTAGACAGGGACTACAGGTATGTGCCATCACACCTGGCTAGTTTTTCTGTTTTTAGTAGAAAGTGGGTCTTGTTCTTGTTCAGGCTGGTCTTAAGCACTCCACCTGCGTCAAGCCTCCCACAGTGGTAGGGTTATAGGCGTGCGCCACCTCGACTGGCCCACACTTGAGTTTCTAAATACCATTCTCTAATAAAAGTGACCAAGAACTCACCCATTCCAGGACTGGGGCAGGGAAAATTTAGAATGAGCCAAGAGCATCTTGGATGCCAAAAAGGATACATTAACACCAAAAATGATGGGGTCATGTCAGATGTTGACAGGACTGGGAGCCAGGTGGAGCTCTGGTTGGAACAGCTTGACCAACAAAAAAATAGCAATAGTGTTAGATTATAACTCAAAGAAAATAAATGCCCACATGTCTGCACTAACATAAATAACCAAATAAATTGAAAATGAAGACAAGCAACATACTGTGAAACCAATTTTATAGCTTTCTTACGAAAGCTGTAACCCAAATATAGCCCACAAAGAAGGGGAAAGGGGAGAGGGAGGGATGAGAGGAGGGAGAATAATTGGTGGGACCACACCTACGGTGCATCTTATAAGGGTACATGTGAAATTTACTAGGTGTATAATATAAATGTCTTAACATAATAACTAAGAAAATGCCGTGAAGGCTATGTTAACCAGTTTGATGAAAACATTTCAAGTTGTATATAAAACCAGCACATTGTACCCCATGATTGCATTAATGTACATAGCTATGATTTAATAATAATTTAAAAAGACAAGCAACAGTTCTTTGTAGAAGAATTCTAATTGGGAAATGTAGAAGAAGGCTCGGCACCTGTAGCTCAAGCAGCTAAGGTGCCAGCCACATACACTGGAGCTGGCGGGTTCGAATTCAGCCTGGGCCCGCCAAACAACAATGACAACTATAACCAAAAATGGCCAGGCATTGTGGCGGGTACCTGTAGTCCCAGCTACTTGGGAGGCTGAGGCAAGAGGATCACTTAAGCCCAAGAGTTTAAGGTTGCTGTGAACAGTGATGCCACAGCACTCTACCCAGGGACAGCCTGCGACTCTGTCTCAAAAAAAATAAAAAAAGGAAACATAGAAGAAGAAATGTGAGAAATAGAAAATCACCATTAGGACACCACAGTAGGAACTGGTGTAGGCAGGATCCACCAGTGGATGCTAAAGTTACCATGTTTCCCTGAAAATAAGACCTACCCCCAAAATAAGCCCTAGCAGGATTTCCATTTCTTTTGTTAAATATAAGCCCTACCCATAATAAGACCTGCATTTTGGCACAAAGAGGAAGACATCCCCTGAAAATAAGACGTAGTGTGTCTTCTTGAGAAAAAATAAGTAGGTGCAAGTTTTAGTATGTACAGGAGATTTGCATAACTTCAGAATATGTCCCCTAAAATATTTAGCACTTACAAAGAAGTTTATAGTAGCTTTACAGTGGAGAGGCCTGGCAGATTCCACTTCAGCCATGTGATTAAGGTTACCAGTGTGAGTACTGCATCAGTGTGAGTAGACATCAGATACCTAGATGTGATGTGCTGAGGACATGTGGTTTTCAAGGAAACCCTGAGGAAGTGACCTAGATTGGAGACTTAAAAGATGTGACAACTAAATGCAATGTAGAATCCTAGAATGGATCCTGAAACAGAAAAAGGACATGAGTGGGAAAACTAGTGCACGAATTCTAATCTTTGATTAATAGTATTGTACCAAGATGAATTTCTTGCTTTTGACAAATGTTTTATGGTGACCTAAGACGTTAACATAAGGGAAAGCTGCACGAAGGATCCACAGAACTATGTACTATTTAGGCAAGCCTTTGGTATATCTAAAATTATCTAAAAGAAAATACACATCAATGCACTAACCCAGGGGTCCTCAAAGTTTTTAAACAGGGGGCCAGTTCACTGTCCCTCAGACCGTGGGAGGGCCGGACTGTGGGCCTCGGGACCAGTCGGCTGCTAAGCAGGACAGGCAACGGTGGCAAAAACACCCAGCGGGCAGGATAAATGTCCTAGGCGGGCTGCTTGTGGCCCGGCAGGCCTGCAGACAAAATGTCTCTGAGTTTCATTCATTTACTCATTGATTCAATAGGTCTTTGTGGAGAGCCTGCTCTGCCTGGCACTGTTTTAGGTATTGGGGAGGCTGCACGAGCAAAAAACAAAAGTGGAGCTGACACTAGTGGGAGATAAAGATAATAAAATAAGCGAACCATATGGTGTGTTGAGAGAAAGTACATCCGGGAAAGGGGCAGGGCTTAGGCAGCACGTGTCCCTCCTGGGAAGCTTCGCTCCGCCCCTGTGAGGGGTATTAGGAGCCCTAACAGACCCTAGCGGACTCCAGGGTACAGATGACCCTCCTCTCTTCCCTATTGACTGTATGTCCCCTGGCTCACATTCTCCTTTGTTTTCTGACTCCTCGATAGGCATTGTTGCTAGCAACACCCGGGACAATAATACAGGGGCCACCTACCCCCACCTGAACTTCAGCATTCCCATCACAGTGCTCCAGCCAGCCCTGCAACAGTACTGTGAGACTGGCGACCTCGGTGGCTTCCGACAGTTGGACCATACCACTGAGCCGGTCAGGGTGGTGTGGCGGCTACAGCGACCCCTGGCAGAGGCCCCACGGTCCAAGCTCTGAGGATGTGGCGCCCCTCTGGAAAGAAGAGTGAACTTAATGCTGGAGGAAGTGATGCCAAGGTGATAGTAACTTTAGGATCCAAAATCCAGTTCCTGATGGGGCACGCCCCAGCTAGGCTGCCTCCCCATCTCTACCTACTGGCTGTACTCTGGGTTCTGAGCCCTGCAACAAACTTCTTTAAAGCCCCACAGGTCCTTAACCTTGTAGCTTCTTTGGGGGGAACTTTCTTGAGCCCCCCACCTCTCTCTGTCCCCGCCACTATACTCAGCTGTGTTTTCCCTTTTGGGAAGTTCAGGCCAACTGCACAAAGGCTCTGAGCCGTAAGGTAGATAGTGGCCAGAAGGCTGGCCCAGGCCTGGTTTTTCACCTGTTTCCCCCCAGTAGCCACTGGCCCCTGGAGCAGCTGCTGTACTGGAGCCTTGGCTCCTATCTGCCTCTCAGGGCTGACAGAAGACTCAGAGTGTGTCAGCAGAGAGGCGCTGCCTTGAAGGCCAGAGATGACAGGGCAGAAACAGGAGTGTCTCCCAGGGCTGCTGATGGCCAGGTCCCTGAAAGTCCATGCTCCTGGGTCTTTATAACCAGCAGGTGTGCTCTGACACAGTGCCTTCATCTTTCAGTCCACAGTCTGGTCCTCAGGGATCTTGGGGGTGGGGGGTTAGAACATGTCTGGTTGGGGCTTGGGAATAAACACAATCTACTGGAGAGCCTCTGTATTTTTCTATTGATCAAATCCCCCCACCCCACCCCCCACCCCCTTTTCAAGAGTTGAATCTGGAATAGGCAAACACCAGGCAAAGAAATACACCTTTCTGTGCTGCTTTCTTTGAGCTCACGGGATACTCGTAGTTAGTCATGGCACTAGTGAGTGCTGGCCGGAGCTTGCAAGACTCAGATGGTGGTCATTGTGGCCTAGTAGCAGGTGTTTATAGAATACTGGGGGTGGGGGGGAGTTGGGGAGTTTAAAGGTGAATGAAGCAAGGGCAACCCTCAGGAACTGAGACCAGCTCTTCAGATCAGGAACGTGCAGTGTGCCCAGGGCCCTGTATATGCAGGCCCCCAAGAAATGATTTTCATCAGCAGGCTGGAAGCCATTTGAGGAATAGCTGGGGATTGATGGGATTGATTCTAAGTGGTACTTTCTTTTCATGTAATTTCTATTTGTTGGTTGCCAACTGGGCCTCCACAGAATGCTTCTGTGATGGTTGTTCTTCTCTTACCAAGATTAGGAATCGGTTTAGAAGACAGAGTTAGCTTGAGAGAAGTCCTATAGTAAATTAATGGTAGCAGGGAGCTGATGTGAGACTGAGTTTGCTGGAAGTAAAGACCAGTCTTTACTGGTCTTGGGTCTTTCCACAGCCCAAGTCTTGGCTCAGCCACCTTCTCTTTCACCATGGCCATCATAACTGGTCCCTGGGCCTCAGTCTTACTCCCTTCCAATGTTCTATCATGTTCTGTCTATTCTATCATGTGTGGGTACCAAGGCACCCACAGGCTGTTCTGGGGAGACTGGTCTGTCAACTCATTAGTGCAATGAGAGGGGCAGCTCTGTCTATAGAAGAGTATGTATGGGGGTCAGATAAGGCTTCATCAAAGCGATTCAGGTCCTGAATGATAAGAGTTTACGGTTTACCAAGAGGACTGGAAAGGGGAGGGTATTACAGGCTGAAAGTAGGAAGTGTAGAACCACTCTGCTTGTTCTCGGAGTGCTGAAAAGAACATTGGAAGGGAGTAAGACTGAGGACCAGTGACCAGTTACGATGGCCGTGGTGAGAGAGAAGGTGGCTGAGCCAGGACTTGGGCTGTGGAAAGATGAAGGGACAATACAGAAGGTGGACCTAACTGGATGTGGGGCGAAGGCAGAGAGAGAACGATCCAGTGGTGCCTGGATTTCTGGCTGGGATAATGATGGGCTGACTGACAAGTTTAGGTGTCTGGACCTCAAGTAGAAAGATACAGCTGGCTATTAAATAAGTACGTGAGGATAATGTAGAAAAGTATGCCCCCAATCTGAGTGGCTTAAGACAGCAGAAGTTTATTGCTCAAGGAGATCCAGAGTACTCTGACCAAGAAGGGAAGGTTGGCTCCTGTATGGTAGTTATTGAGGGACTTTGGCTCCTTCCCTTTTGTGGCTTTGTCATTGAGGCTGGGGCCTCAGAATCCTCTGCCCAGTCCTCTGTGCCTGGCTTGTGGAGGGGGGATGCGGGAAGAAGATACACTTGCTTCCTTTTAAAAATAATTTTAATTTTGAAACCATTTCAAACTCCTATAACCTTCACCCAGAGACCTCCATCCAGTTTTGCCAAATGTCCCAGTGACAATCTAATTCGAGATCATGAGTTGCACCCACTGGCCATGTTCTGTTCTCCTTTGACGTGGAACAGCTCTGCAATCTCTCCTTGTGTTTCATGCCCTTGACATTTCCAAAGATAACAGGGCAGTCATAGAATGCCACTTAACTTGGGTTTGTCTGGTCTTCCTCAAGATCAGATTCAGCATCTGCATCTTCAGCAGGGTGATCACAGAACTGATACCGTTTTTATCCTTGCACCCTCTTGGGTAGCACGTGATGTTTATTTGTCCCATTGCAGGTGAAGATGGCAAAGCCTGTTAGCCTGCTCCCTGGATGACTGTGTGGAGGGAGACGGGAACCAGTCCACCAGCCTGGAACTGATGTCCTAGCGAGAAATGCACTTCTGTTGTATTTGAGCCATTACATTCTGGGGTCTATTGGTCGCAGCAGAAGAACTTACCCTCACTAATACAGTCTTCCCCTAGGTGGGAGCACTATACCAAACCACATGTTGGGGGAAAGAAGCTTACAAATATAGCTGGAACTCGTATGGAAAAAGAGAACATTTACCAGGCTCTTCAGAGTTAAGGGTTGCCTCTTCCTCAAGTGGGGAATACTGCCTCTGTTTCCCTGGGTTTCCAAGTTGACCTCAGTACCTTGAAACTCTTCTAGCTGTGACAGCCAGCAGTAAAATGACTTCTTATCCGTCAGAGAATGTCCTCAGGCCTGGTTGAGCTCATGTTTGACTGTTAGCAGTTCTTCTTCCTGTTAAATTCTGGAATGCTAGACAGCCTCTTTGCTGCCCAAGCTGTTTCACCTTCCCAACCTACTGCCTTTGGCACCTGGAATTTCAAAAACAAAAGCCTATTGATAAGCAGCAAGCCAAGGTTTTCAGTTCCAAAGTTGTCAGCACTGCTGGGTGGGAAAGAGGGCAGTGATATTCCCTGGGCTGTCTGGGAAAGGACGCAAAAGGGGTTGCATAAGAGCCTGTTTCCTTTCCTGATTTGAGGTGTCTTCTGGTTGCTAAGACGATGCTGAGTGACAATCAGAAAACTTCCTTGTTTTTCGTGGTTTGAGATGGGCCACAGCAGCCCTGACATGCCAGCCTAAGCCCAGTGCTGGGACACCTCACACCTCTCCTCCCTTCCAGCTTTATCTTTGTGCTGTACTTTTCGGAGTTCTTCCCTTGTACCCTGCTGATCAGAATCTTCTTCATCCTTGTGAGCCCAGCTTCTATACAAAGCCTTCCTTTACCTTGCCCAGGCCCAGAGCTATCTCCCTTCCCTGGGCACACTGTAGCCTCTCTATTCACCTCTCCATGTCGCATGATACTGGGCAGGCACCCAGTAAATTTCACACATTTGCTTGACACCATAGTGGAGACTCTGCTTTGTTTGTGCAGTGACCTCTGGCTCCCTTAGGGATGATGTCCACTGAGAGATTTCCTGGCTTTAGGGGTCATGGTTCAGACCTCCGGTCAAGGCCCAGCTCCTCTGCTATATAGCTGAGTGACTTTGCCTAAACTTCTTAGTTTCCTAAGAAGCCTGGGTTTCCTCATCTGCAAAATGGATATTAATAAAACTTCCCTTGCGGTACCTTTGTGAAAAATAAAATTGAGAAGGCATCCAAAGCACTTTGTGTTCAACAAATATTATTTTTCTAAGAGTGCTGGTAGGATTATTTTAAAATTATATTTGTGTTCAACATATTATTTTTCTAAGAATGCTGGTAGGATTGTTGTGTCAGAAATGAATCATTCAGGTTGCTTTGGGCAAACTAATCTGCAATACAAACTATTTCACCTTTCACCATATTATCCCTGAAGCCTGCTTCTGAGTCTTTGTACACCCAGAGTACACATCCTTCCTCCTCGCCCAGAGCTGACTCTCATCCTTGGAGAGAGATCCTTGCATTCCTTTTTGCTCTCAATCTTTCTTATTGCAGCTGACTATATGTACTTTTTACTTTTTTTTTTCTGTGCTATTTACATCTGTCTTTTCCCAGGCTGTCGCCTCTACAAAAGCAGAAACCATTGTTTTTATCTCCATTTTATACCCTCAGGCTTAGCACAGTGCCCAGCGTCAAGTAAGTACTCAACCGGCTTTGGGGAATTACTATGTCTGCACGTGAAGGAGGCTGGTAACGTGCTCAAGGTGGTGCAGTCAGTGCGCTGGGAACTTCACGCTCTAAATTTTGGTTACTTTAAAAGTTACTATAAAGCCCAAAAGTCGGGCTGTCACTTTGAACACATTCCGAGTGGTTCAGGGAAGGTTGGGGGCGTGGCCCTGGCAGGCGCAGAGAGGCGACATCCGGCCTCTGGGGTCACTTGTTTTAAAGTCCGAGGCAGTTCCCTGGCGGTCAAGGTCATTCCACGGTTAGCTCGGAGGGCTACGGTTCTCCGGGGACCGCCGAGGGCGTTGCCGCGGGGCAGGGGCGGGCTCGGGCGCTGAGTCACGCCCCGCCCAGGAGCGTCTGGGGCCGTGCGGCCCGGAAGACTGGGGGTGCGGGAGCTGGAGCGGCTGTGCGAGTGCAACGGCGGCGGCGGCTGGCAGGTGAGGTCGCGCCGCTAGGCGGGCTGTTGAGGCCTCCAGAGCCCGGGGCGGGACAGGGACTTGGAACTGGGGCGCACGGATAGGGCTTGGAGAACGCGGCGGACAGCGTGGGGAGGTCGGCGTGTGTAACTGTGGCTTTGGAAGGAAAGAGCCTGGGATACACAGCTCGGTCTGCTCAAGCCGGGTTTACTCCTGGCACCGCGGACAGAGGAAACTCGCCATCCTCCCTGTCGGGCTCCTAAATCCCTGCTAAGTTTTTCCAAGAAAGATGGCCTCAGGCAGGAAGAGTGAGCAGGGAAGGAAGCGACACGGGCTGGGGTAATCCTGATCCTGACAGACTACAGGGTAATCCCAATCCTGGCAGCGTCGCTGCCCAGTCGTCCGGACTGAAGCTGGTACGGAGGGCAGAGGAAAGTGACTGGGAGGCTGGGCGCGGTGGCTCATGCCTGTAATCCTAGTACTCTGAGAGGCCGAGGCGGGTGGATCTCTTGGCTCACAGGTTCGAGATCAGCCTGAGCAAGAGCGAGACACCCCCCACCGCCCCCGACTCTAAAAAAAAAAGTAGCCAGGCGTTGTGGCGGTCGCCTGTAGTCCCACTACTGGGGAAACTGAGGCCAGAAGATCGCTTGAACCCGAGTCTGAGGTTGCTCTGAGCTATGATGCCAAGCCACTTTACTGAGGGTGACAGGGTAAGACTCTGTCTCAAGAAAATAAAGAAAAAAAAGAGGCTCTGGCTCCTGTGGCTCAAGCGGCTAAGGCGCCAGCCACATACACCTAAGGTGGCGGGTTCGAATCCCCAGCCCGGGCCCGCCAAACAACAATGATGGCTGCAACTAAAAAAAAATAGCCAGGCGTTGTGGCGGGCGCCTGTGGTCCCAGCTACTTGGGAGGCTGAGGCAGGAGACTTGCTTAAGCCCAGGAGTTGGAGGTTGCTATGAGCTGTGATGCCATGGCACTCTACCTAGGGGGACAGCTTGAGGCTTTGTCTCCAAAAAAAAAAAAAAAAAAAAGAAAGAAAATGACTGTGATACCCAAGTGCCCATACACTCGGGGGTGCACAAGGAGGTCTGCTTCTCCCCTACCTGAAGCCCAAGGTCTCAGTGGTGGCTGAACTAGCTATGAATGGATGCCTGAAATCAACCAGGAACTGAATTAGTGGGTGATGTTGGATTTTCCTTCTAATACCACTCACTGAACACACCCTGCTTTCCCTCCAACAAGTCTCTTTGACCCTGGGAGTTAAGGTTAGGATGGGGAAGAGTAAGGTCTCTTGGGAACTGATGGTCCTACAGGAGGACAGGCCCACAGTAGAGGGTCATAGTTTGGAAAGGGACTTCCGGGCTTTGGGGGTCTGTACCTGTGTTCTGTGGCTTGTATGAGGTTCTAGTGTGTGTGTTTGTGTTTGCCACTGCTAGAGAGCCCCAAGCTCTCAGATCCCACCTGCCTTCACCCTAGCATGAGAGAGGAGGTCACTGAGGAGTACTATGTGCAGTCACAGATCCAAGGCACCTCCATTTCACCCAGGAAGACACTGAGCCCGAGCCAGCATGGATCCTGGCTTGTGACTACCAACTAGAAAGTGATGGAGCTGGGCCAGCCTGGTCTTTGGTGGAGAAATGAAGGCAGGGTCCAACTGCAGGTGCTGAGCAGACCATGGGGTGTTAAGAGGACCACAGAGTAACTGGTGCTGAGGAGGATGGGCAAGTGGCTTGGCCCAGGTTTTCAGTATTGGAGTATTTATGACACCCAAATGAATCTGTCAACCCTAAAGCTGCCCTTATCTGGGATATCAAAGGAGATTGTTCCCTCTTCAGACTTTGAATCCCTTTCAGAAATTGTTTTTGGGGGGGTTATAGTCAATGTGTATTCCCTTGGGGGGCTGGCCGTGGAGTATTCAGGGATGGCGGGCCACTTCCACTTGCCCCTTTCCTCCTTTTCCTAGGTGGAGAGGGGACATCCGTGGTGATCCATGGTTTTTTTGTTTTTTGTTTTTAAAAGACAGAGTCCCTTTTGCTCTGTCACCCTGGGTAGAGTGCAGTGGTATCATCATAACTCACTGTAACTTCAAACTCTTGGGCTCAAGTGATCCTCCTGCCTCAGCCTCCCGGACTGCTAGGATTACAGGCATGAGCCACCATGCTAACCCTCCATGATTCTTTAGTGGCCGTCTAATTCAGGACAAGCTCTCTGAAAATATGGCTATCCCAAGGGCTTGTGTTGAACTCTGCCCTTTGTGTAAGCCTCACTGCATGCTTTATTTGTAATCTTTATGAAGCAATACTAGGCAACATTCTTGCTTTGATCAGAGCCCATATGGTTTCTGCTGTGTGTCTTCTGAGGCATGACCTCTGAACAGCTTTGGCATAAATGTTACTTCTCTTTTTTCAGTAAATTCCTAAAGGCCCTTTATTGTTAAAGAAGAATCTCCCTGGGGTCAGTGGGATCAGGCTGGGTGTCCTTGGAAGAAAAAATAAGAACGAAGAAAAACAAGTAAAAGACTGAGTGTAAACCAGATTTGTGTGTGTGTGTGTGTGTTATAGGAGGGGGTTAAGGTAAAATTACTTAAGAGTTGCTAGATAATTAGAGTGTGTTCTGTCCTTTTGGGCCTTCTTTTAAGCTAACATTCCTGAATGCAGGCAGATGTAGTTAAGATTCTCTGTGCTCTGGGCTCTGATGTTCAGTTCAAAATTAAATGGTAAGTTTGGCAGTTCCTCAAAAAGATAAACCTAGAGTCACTGTAATATATGACCAGGAAATTCCAGACTTAGATATATACTAAAGAAAATTGAAAACATGTGTTCACACAAAAATTCATACATAGATGTTGATAGCAGCATTATTCACAATAGCTAAAAATGGAAACAATCCAAATGTCTAACAACTGATGAATGGATAAATGAAATGTAGTATATTCATACGATTCCCCTTTGCTTGGCCATGACCCACTTTGCCAAACACTTAAACCAAGGACTTAAGCCATGGATTTGCACTTCCAGCCACACACCTTGTAGGTGCTAAATTCACAGATAAAGAATTAAGGGATATTCATTAAGGGATATTACATGTTCTAACGTAGCAACAGTGGTGGGCAAACAACATTAATCAGTGTGAAGACCCCATCCATCAATGGAAGCTCCATCATTGGGAGACTACAGGACAAACTATGATGCACCCATACCATGAAATATTCTGTAACCATTCATTTGTAAAGGGTGGGTTATGTTTTTATAAGAAAAGTGTCCATGAAAAAGACAATAGAAGGGAATCTAGAATCTAATTCCTAAGAAATTAAGGACCAAAAATGAGGGCAGCACCTGTGGCTCAGTGAGTAGGGTGCCAGCCCCATATACTGGGGGTGGTGGGTTCTAACCTGCCCCCGGCCAAAACTGCAACAAAAAAATAGCCGGACGTTGTGGTGGGCGCCTGTGGTCCTGGCTACTCAGGAGGCTAAGGCGAGAGAATAGCCTAAGCCCAAGAGCTGGAGGTTGCTGTGAGTTGTGATGCCATAGCACTCTACTCAGAGTGTAAAGTGAAACTCTGTCTCTAAAAAAAAGGACCAAAAATGAAAGGTTATTCTGAGACATGAATGAAAGGAAGCAGAGTCTAGGTTCTGTGTGGGCAACATGGCCTTCATTTTACTTGGGTGTGAGTAGGCTGAGTTCCAAAAAGAAGTCAGCACATGGTTAAGGCGGGTAGGTATATAAGAGTTCAGAGGGATAGGGATTGGCCCACTCATTCCTTTCTGGGTGGGACATTCTTTCCTGGGCGGGATGGTTCTATTTGGGCAGGTCCCTACATTCGGTGCTATCAGTCCTATTTGTGGGTAGTAGGTGTATGCATGCCCATACATGTCGTGAGTATAAGTGGCAGCATTTGTTAGACTTTTACTTGTGTCTTTGTGAGTTTTTCTCCCCATTTTGGAAAAGAGTTCAGTAACTTGCCCAAGTTTAATCCTCAACAGATCCACCCTGCTCTTTGAACCAAAATGCTAATATTGGTCATAGGTGATGTATTTATTTTCTTCCTTGAGCTTTTTTGTATTGTTTGAATTTTTTTTTTTTTTTTTGAGACAGAGTCTCATGTCACCCTTGATAGAGTGCTATAGCGTCACAGCTCACAGCAACTCCAGGTCTTGGGCTTAAGCGATTCTCTTGCCTTAGCCTCCCAAGTAGCTGGGACTATAGTCACCCGCCAGAATGCCCGGCTATTTTTTGGTTGTAGTTGTCATTGTTGTTTGGCAGGCCCTGGCTGGATTCGAACCCGCCAGCTCTGGTGTATATGGGCTGGCACCCTAGCTGCTTGAGCTACAGGCGCCGAGCCATTGTTTGAATTCTTTTTCAAACAAATGTGTGTTATTTTTGTAGAAATAATGTAGACAACCTGAAAGTGCCTCCCCTCCCTGGCCTGGGTATGCCCTCAGGCTCTAGACCCCCACTTGGAACTCCAGAGAAGAAGCTCTATGCCTTCTTGGGGGGCATGCCTAGGTGGGTGAGGGTTTTGCTCACTGGGGAAGTGGGTTGATAACCCTGGGAACTGGGAGATAGCTCCTTTGGCCTGTTCACTGCCCCTCAAGCCTGCTCTGGGCTATTGGCCTTGCTTTCTCTCTTCCCAGGGAAGGAGGCTCTGTGAGCCAGGCTTGTATGTCCACGTGATGATTAAAGCTGTCTTGGCATGACAGGATGTCTGTCTGTGTTAGCCCCTGCCACTTGCCTTCCTGGCCTCCCCACCTTTCTGCCCTAAACTCCTTCCATTGGTCCTTCCTGCTATTGGGCCTCTGGCCTAAGTTGACCCTTTGCCAGGAAGGCCCCTGCCCCCGGCGCTTTTTTTAGGCTCTAGATCTCCTCCTTGAGTGTCTCTGGGTGGTCCAGTGTAACCTGACTCTCATTGGACCCCTGCCCCCAGCAAACTGTGTATCCCTTCTCAGGACCTTTGCCCAACCAGCCTAAAAGTGGGGCTTTCTGGGTTTCTTTTTTTTCTCGACCTCATTCCTGGCTGCCAGTCCCAAGGGCAGTGGCCACCACTGAAGGGGCCAAGCTGAAGTGGGCGGGTGATGCACAGCCTGCCCACAGCCTGCCTCAGTGCCTAATACGTCTCCTTGCCCTGGTTAGTTCCTGGTGTCCACTCCTACTGCTGGCTGGGCCCCAGGAGACATTCTCCTTCTGGCCCAGTTGGCAGATTCAGGCTGATGAGCATTCAGAGATCAGCTCTGGACAACCCTTCTGAGGGTCTGGAGGAGTGAAGATGGCCCTGCCTGCCAGGGGACTTGTCCTGGGTCCTCGCTCTGCCATCTGTAAAATGGAGTGTCCAAGCTTCCATGCGCTGGGGACCATTTGGCCAGTGAAAAACCACTTTGAATCCCCTCTGTTCCTTTAGATGTGGCCTGTGTTTGCCAGCTTCCCACAGCTGTGCCCACCATTTCTTGTTGTTGAACACCTGCCCAGCTTCACTTGTGATCTACGTTACCTAGCTGGTCCTTTGACTTATAAGCACTGCCTTCATAAGGGCGGGGGCCACATCTGCCTGCCTGCCCACAGGATCCACAGCATAGAGTGTGACAGAGAGCAGGGGCTCAGGACATGTGTGTTGGGGTGAACATTGCTTCCTTCTTCACAAGTCTTTGACAAAATATACTGAGTAAAAAGAAAAAAGACAGAAGTTTGTTTAATGTGTGCAAAACATAATCATGATTGAAGTTATATTGACTATCTCTGGAAGGATTCCTACAAACTTAGTAACAGTGGATGCCTTTGGAGAAGGGAACTGGGTGGCTAGGAGGTGGGGTGGAAGCAAGATATCCCTGTTCCTTCAGAATTTAATTCACATTTTGCACAATTGGAATTTCATTAATAAATGATTGACCTAGGCTAGGCATGGAGGCTCATACCTGTAATCCTAGCACTCTGGAAGGCCAAGGCAGGTGGATCACCTGAGCTCAGGAGTCCGAGACCAGCCTGAGTAAGTGAGACCCTGTCTCTACTAAAAATAGAAAAACTGAGGCAAGAGGTTTGTGTGAGCCCAATAATTGGAGGTTGCTGTGAGCTGTGATGCCATGGCACTCTACCCAGGGTGACAGCTTGAAACTCTATCTCAAAACAAAAAAATAAAACAAAATAAAAATAGGAAAAATTAGCCCAGTGTTGTGGTCCCAGCTACTCAGGAGGCTGAGACAAAACGATCACTTGAACCCAGGATTTTGAAGTTGCTGTGAGCTAGGATGCCATGTCACTCTAACCAGGGCAATAGAATGAAACTCTTTCTCTGTGGGCATTCCCTTGTCCTTCCAGCCCCCCTGACTGTGCTGTGCTCTCCTCTCCCATCCTAGCAATACCTGGTCCGAAATGGGGTCTCAGGTCTCAGCCGACTCGGGAGCTCTGCATGTGGTGATTGTGGGCGGTGGCTTTGGTGGGATTGCAGCTGCTAGCCAGCTGCAGGCACTGAACATCCCCTTCATGCTGGTGGACATGAAAGACTCCTTCCATCACAACGTGGCAGCCCTCCGGGCCTCCGTGGAGAGTGGTAACTTGATGCTGTTTGGGGCTGTTTTGTGAGAGTGGTCTTATCATTGCTGAGGGATGTGATTTCAGGGCTGGGGGTGGCTTTCTAGACTTACGGCAAGGTGTCCACTTTCCACCATTATGCAAGACCCAGAGAGTCTCAAGGTCACTGGTCTTAAGTAGCTACCATAACGGGACTCAGAGCTTGAGCTTCTCTGAGGGCCTGAGGTCCTCTAGAGGATAGCGGGTACCCCAGGTGTACCTGTTGGCCCAGCTCTTTGGCCAAGGGTACCCCAATTGGTGTGTAGCTTAGCAAAGGTTCTGAGGCACTCTGGCTTCCTATGAGTAGCCTGGTTCTACACTATGACCTCTTTTATGTCCATTTCCTAGGGTTTGCCAAAAAGACATTCATTTCCTACTCCGTGTCCTTCAAGGAAAACTTCCGGCAGGGCCTGGTGGTCGGGATAGACATGAAGAATCAGACGGTGCTTTTGCAGGGTGGGGAGGTGAGTGCAAGGGCTGACCCTCCCATCATCTGGCTCAGAAGGCCCTCTGGGGGATCTGAGTCAAGAGAGCCACTAGATGCCAGGCACTGTTCTCAGCCTTTACGTGACTCTCAGGTAATGTTGTTCACTACCTCCTCTATACAACCTCCTTTTACAGAGAGGCTAATCAGAGTTGGACACAAACATAATCCGACCTCCCCTGGGTGGGAATTCATGGTGGGCAGAGGTTTCCCTCTATTCATCTTTGGTGTAGCCTGCGGTGACTTGAGCTCCAGTAGTGGAGGCTGCTGGCAGCTTGGAAGAGGTGTCACCTCCAGCCCAGCCCCTGGCTCAGTATCCCTTAGTATCCCTCAGAGGCTGAGGGGGTATTGAAAAAATAGAGACACAGTTCTTATCCTTAATGAGTATGTGATTTGGTGTGAAGTAGACCTTTTTGGGTTAATTTTAGGCCTTAAAAACTTCCTTGTAGAAAAAACTACTGAGTATTTCCTAGACCTGCAGCTTTGGGTTGTGCTTTTCAGAGCCCTGGAAAGGTCCATGGGGCATCTTGGAGCTCCAGGTGGGAAGAGGGGGCTAAGTGAAGCCCAGACCACTGCTGTCCCCCCCCACCTCCCCCCGCATTGGAGCAGCTCTGTTTTTGTCCGTATGTCTTTAGGCTCCAAACAAGCCTAAAAGAAAATGTTTTCTTTTCTCTTTTCCTCTTCTCTTTTCTTTTACTTTTTTCACTTGGCTCCCCTCCCTTCCCCTCCTCTCCTCTTCTCTCCTTTTCAGTGGGAGTAGGAAGAGATTCCTAACTAATTCCACACTGGAAGCTAGTACCCTACTTTTGCCCACAAGCAGTCCTGTTCCAGCTGACCTGCTTCCTGCTGTAAGGGCTCACTCCTCCCTCTCCTGTGGGATGGCTCTGTAGCCCAGGGGTTCTCCAGGCAGGAGGTAACATCTGCCTCCTTGGGTATTTCCCTGGGTTCTAGTGCTGTCCCTTGGCCTATGATTCTGCCTCCCTCACAAGATGGCAGGAGCCCCCAGAGGGGCTCCTTCCCCAGGGTCTTCTTGGTCAGTGGGGCCTGGAGTAGGATGCAGAGGCCCAGACCTCCCCTGCCCTGACCTCATCTTTCTTTTTCTTATCCCTCTCAGGCTCTGCCCTTCTCACATCTGATCCTGGCCACAGGCAGCACTGGGCCCTTCCCGGGCAAGTTCAATGAGGTTTCCAGCCAGCAGGCTGCCATCCAGGCCTATGAGAACCTGGTGAAGCAGGTGAGCTGTGTGCTGAGGTATAGGGCAGTGTGGCCAGATGGGAGGACAGCTGTGAGGATGTCTGGGGACAGAGCTGGGAGACCACAGAGGGGAGAGGTTGCTTGGGAGCTGCTGGCCACAGCTGTAGAGTTGGAGAGTCACTAGGAAGAGTCTCTCATGGGAAGAGACCTTGGACCTACCACTAAGGCCTAGATATGAGCACCTGAGGCCTGCTCACGTTGTGCTTGGCATGTCCTTGACTGGTCTCTCTTAGGGCTTTTCATGTTCATGTCCCCTGTTATTCACACAGGGCTCTGTTTTATAGAGCAGGTTTAGATCCAAACCTCAGTTTTCAGAGCAACCTTGCTGGGTTGGCAGAAGGAAGTACGTTTGGACTCCAAAGTTGGGACGCATTCTCTGTGGCCATGGAAGCCACACCATAGGCTGCACTGCCAGGCAGGGGTGAGTGTGTGGTGCGTTTCACATGTCTCTCCTCTTTAGGTCCAGCGCTCAAGGTTCATCGTGGTGGTGGGAGGAGGCTCCGCAGGAGTGGAGATGGCAGCAGAGATTAAAACCGAATATCCTGAGAAAGAGGTGGGCCAGGATGCCTTGATTTTCAACTCTTGAGTGGTCAGCTTCTTTGTACAGTATCTAAGGAACGTCAGGAATTTACTCAGGGCCTGGGAGGCCGGCACTTCCTTCATGTAAGCTGGGAGACTGTGTATCCTGTGCTATGATGTGATTCTGCAGGGAATTTTTCCCAGAGAGCCAGAATCCTGCAGCAGAGCTATTCAGGACATGTCCTCATTCACTGAGAGGTCATGCCCTCTTCCTCTGCTTCAGCCAGGGGGATCAAGCCCAAGGGAGATAACTTGCAAAAGTTAAACAACTTTGTTTCGTTAGAGCGGAGAAAGAGTTTAATCTTGCAGGGTGCTAAATTGGGAGACAGGAGGAGTTTCTCAGATCCACCTCCCTGAGAATTTGGGAGACAGGGTTTTTAAGGATAGTTTGGTGAAGGATTAGGCAATTAGGTTTACTAATTGGCTGAGTATGGACAGAACCATCAGTTCCCTGGTTTGGGCTGCTGACCTGGGTGGGTCAGCCAATCTACTGGAATGTAGGACCTGGAAGATATCTCAAAAACTACTTTCAGGTTCCAAAGGATGATGGTATGTGTGGAAAAAGTTAAGAATCTTTGTGACCGGCTAGGCGCCCGTAGCACAGTGGTTATGGTGCCAACCACATGCACTGAAGTTGACAGGTTTGAACCCAGCCCCGGCCAGCTAACCAACAATGACACCTGCAACAAAAAATAGCCGGGTGTTGTGGCGGTGCTTGTAGTTGTAGTCCCAGCTACTTGGGAGACTGAGGCAAGAGAATCGGTTAAGCCAAGGAATTGGAGGTTCTGTGAGCTGTGATGCCACGGTACTCTACGCAGGGCGACAGCTTGAGGCTCTGTCTCAAAAAAAAAAAAAATCTTTGTGACCATCAGCTGTGTGGCTCCAGAGTGACAATTACTATATATAATATATAGAGAAATGAACAGGGGACAATAGCTTATTATTATTATTTTTAGCTGTGCCTATGCCTTATTTTTAGCTAGGCCTTTACTGTAATATTCACTTTGCAACCCTTTATTAATTTGTAAGGGTGGTTTCAAACTCAGGCCTTTGTGATAGAAATGTAGATTTGATTACCTGTTCTTACTGACTGCAGGCTTGGGCAAAGGCATGCTCAGTTGCTGTCCTTTGGTTTCTTCCTCTGATACTGGGGTATCACCCAGTATCACCCATCACACCCATGGCAGTGGGGGATCCTGTAGTGCAGTCCCTGGACTTCCCATGCTGGGGAATGAGCAGTGTGGGGATGAACGGAGACTTGCCCCTTCCCCTGAAAGTTCACTGAAAGATCAACTCACAATTAAGGCAGATTAATAAAAGGAAGAGGTTTATTTACCATGCACATGAGAAGAATTACAGAGTGATTACCCAATATCTCAATGGGATCCAGATATTTTTATACCTGTTTTTTAGAGGAGAGATGAATAATTGGGGTAATTCTGTTTAGGGGCAATAAATATTTGCTAGGGAGGATGAAAGAATGCAGGGTGGGAGGGGAACAGATTGACTTGTAAATTAACTGAGAGACAGGTGTTACGTTTAAAATAATTTGGGCCAGGTCTGGTTGTATTATTGATTTTCTTTCCTGCAATATCGTGAAATAACAGGGAAGGGAAGTCGATTGTTCTTTTGATGAGTCGATCTGGGTTATGCAGATAGAGAAAAAGGCCCTTCCAATGCCTTAAAAGCCTTTAATTCAAAATATTTTTCATACCAAGGAGTCATACATGTATCTTGGGATGAAATTTCCTGAGCTACTTGAGTGGCCAGCACTGCCTTCTGCCCATAGGGAATGTGTGTATGTGTGTGTGGCATCAGCCTTCTAATGCTCAAGGGATAGAGAACCTGCCTGGCAACCTAGAGAGAGAAAATCCTGGCACAATCCTGGCTTGGCTATGGCTGGGTGATGATCATAATTATTGGTCCTCAAGGCAAGAACTTGCTTGAGGCTGATGCCAGATGAGCTTCTAAGAGACACACCGGCCTGTGGATGGTTCTTTTTTCCCTAGGGAAAGGCAGATTGGTTTTGAAAAGAAAGATCAATATGGGCTAATTTAATTATATGGCTATTTTCTGACAAATTGTTGGAAATTATTATGACTGATGGATATAGTTAGTTTATTCATTTGATTTATGAGGGTTGTGTAGGGAAAAAACCAAACTGTTTTTTCTCTATACTCACACTCAATACTTCTGTGATGAGATACGTGTTTTTTTTCCCCCACTGACCAATTCTTCAGCACCAGCAGGGTGTCCTATAATTCACTTCAGTTCACTTCAGTTCTGACACTACTTGGAGTTAATGAAGACCCGATTAGTTAAGGGCTCAGCCCCACAAGACTGCCCCTACTTCAGACACGAATTGCAAGTTGTAGTTCTCAGCTTACCCACATTTGGTTACAAATTGGATGACCAATTTCCTATCACCCTGTCCTTGGGTTTGATAATTGCTAATGTGGCTCACGGAACCTAGGAAAACAGTTAACTTACTAATGCTGAATTATTACAAAGGAAATTTTTATTTTATTTTATTTTAGACAGAGTCTCACTATGTCACCCTCAGTAGAGTGCTGTGGTGTCACAGCTTATAGCACCCTCAAATTCTTGGGCTTAAGCGATTCTCTTGCCTCAGCCTCCCAAGTAGCTGGGACTACAGGTGCCTGCCACAACGCCCAGCTATATTTTTGTTGTTGTTGTAATTGTCATTGTTGTTTGGGCGGGCCTGGACTGTGTTTGAACCTGCCAGCTCTGGTGTATGTGGCTGGTGCCCTAGCTGCTGAGCCACAGGCGCTGAGCCTACAAAGGATGTTTTAAAGGATACAAATGAACAGCCAGATGAATAGGTACACAGGGCAGGTCTAGAGGGGTCCTGAGCACAGGACCTTCTGTTGCCTTCTGAGCTGGGGTGCCTCTGGGCACATGGACATGTTAACCAAACAGGAGGCTCTCTGAACCCCTGGGATTTTTCAGCCTCATCATGTAGGCATGATTGATTATTAACTCAATCTCTGGCCTCTCTTCCCTCCCTGGAGGATGGGGTTGGGCCAAAAGTTTCAGGCTTGCAATCATGGCTTGCAATCCCGCCATCCAGGAGCCTGGCTCTTTAGAACAAAAAATGCTTGTATTATCCAGGAAATTCCAAGGGTCTTAGAAGCTCTGTGTCAGGAAATGGTATTAAATACCAAATAGTGAAACAAATGATTCTCCTAGCACCCCTGTGTGCAAGAGTCTTAAGAGCTCTGTGTCAGGAATTGGGGGCAGGGACCAATACATACATTTTTTTTATTCACAGAGGTAAGACAAGTCTCAAGTAGTAAGAGCTACCCTTACTAAAGACTTAGTATGTGCAGAATTACATGCTTTACACGAATTTTCCTGTTCATCATCACAAAATTCCTACAAGTAGAACTATTAGTAAGCCTTGGGGAGGTGTCTAAGAGAGTATCAGAGATGAGGTTTCAACCCAGGCAGTCCAAGTCTAAAGTCCAGGCTTTGAACATGATTGCAGCCCACCTCCTGCTTCCTTTTCCCAGACAAGTAGATGTGCCTAGAAGCTCTAGTTTTAGAAACAGCCCTAATGTTGGTGTCAGCCTGATTTATAGTTGGAATATCAATGGTTTATACAGATTGTATAATTGAAAGTGCCCAAGGATGCTTGAAAATAATGTTCCAGGTGGCTGTAGGTGAGGTTCCAGCACATGGGTGGTCCTCTGGCCCAGGGCCAGCCAGGTGGTACTGAAAGAATCCTAGACTAGGACCCGTGGGCCCAAGGTCACTTTGCAACTAACTGGTTCCAGCATTGGAAAATTACTTCTCCTGGGCTCAGTTTCCTCTTCTGTAACCTGGAGGCAAGGGAGGAAGTGGATGTTTGTAGAGTCGAAGACTCAGGGGCTCCTTCTTAGGCCCTGTGGTTGTTTTGTCCCCAGGTCACTCTTATTCACTCCCATGTACCCCTGGCTGACCAGGAGCTCCTGCCCTGCGTCCGGCAGGAAGTGAAAGAAATCCTCCTGCGGAAGGGTGTGCAGCTGCTGCTGAGTATGTGCAACCTCACCTCCCTCCCTGCCCCTGCTTGTCCCTCCCTGCTTGGGGAGATGAGGCTCAAAGGCTTGCTCATTGCCTCTAGCTGGAGAGGGGCCACAGTCTCCCCACTCCAGGCTCTCTCTCTTCCACTGTCTCGGGGGTTGAGTGTGAAGCAACCAGAATGATTGTGGACATCAAAGCCCCTTTGAGCCTGTCCAGCTGGAAGCCAGGCCTGTCATCGGGCAGGGCAGAGGCTCTGGTACTTACAGGATTTCCATGTCTTGGAGGCAGAGATGTGCTGGCTGTTGCTTAGGATGTAGTGCAGATTGTGGGCCTCCTACTTGCTGCATGAGTCCTACCCTATGCCCTTAAGAGTGCAATGGCATCATAGCTCTCTGCAACCTCAGACTCAGGCAGTGGGCATCCTGCTGCCTCAGCCTCCTGAAGCCGTTGGGATTATAGGCACTGGCTGTGGCACCTAGCTGGGTTTTTCATTTTTTCGGAGTCAGGGTATCACCATCACTCAGGCAAGTCTTGAACTCCTGAGCTCAAACAATTCTCTCTCAGCCTCCTACAGTGCTGGGATTATGGGCGTGAGCCACTGCGCCCAGTCTGAATGACCTTTTTTAAGTGTATCTAAAGGATTTGTCCTGAATTATGATTGATTTTTTCTTTTTCTTTTCTTTTTTTTTTTTTGGAGACAGAGTCTCATTTTGTCACCCTCAGTAGAGTGCCACGGTGTCATAAACTTTAGCAACCTCCAACTCCGGGGCTTAAGCGATTCTCTTGCCTCAGCCTCCCAAGTAGCTGGGACTGCAGGTGCCTGCCACATGCTTAGCTATTTTTTAGAGATGGGGGTCTCACTCTTGCTCAGGCTGGTCTCCAACCTTTGAGCTCAGGCAATCTACCCTGGCCTTGGCCTCTCAGAGTGCTAGGATTACAGGCGTGAGCCACTGTGCCCAGCCTATGATTGATTTTTTTGTTTGTTTTTGAGACAGAGTCTCACTCTGTTTCCCAGGCTTGAGAGCAGTGGCATGAGCCTGGCTCACAGTAACCTCAAAACTCCTGGGATCAAGCAATCCTCTTGCCTCAGTCTCTTGAGAGAGTAGCTGGGACAATAGGCGCCCACCACAACACCTAGCTAATTTTCTATTTTTATTAGAGATGGGTCTCATTCTTGTTTAGGCTGGTCTTGAACTCCTGAGCTTAAGCAATCCTCCCATCTTAGCCTGTTAGAGAGCTAGGATTGTAGGATGAACCACCATGCCTGACCTTATTGATTTGTATTTTGAGAGTGGTGAAGACTGATTTTCATCCAGAGTAGGAGAGATGTGAACCACCCAGCATTTTTTATTTTATTTTATTTTATTATTATTATTTTTTTAGAGACTCACTTTTTTAGAGTCTCACTTTGTTGCTCTCAGTAGAGCGCTGTGGCATCACAGCTCACAGCAACCTCCAGCTCTTGGGCTTAGGCTATTCTCTTGCTTCAGCCTCCCAAGTAGCTGGGACTACAGGCATCTGCCACAACACCTGGCTATTTTTTTTTGTTGCAGTTTGGCTGGGGCCAGGTTTGAACCTGCTACCTTCAGTATTTGGGGCTGGCACCCTACTCACTGAGCCATAGGTGCTGCCCAACCTAGCATTTTTTAGAGTAGGGCTCTGATCCCAACACTTTGTTGCACTGGGCCTCACCCTCCACCTTTTTTTTTTTTTTTTTTTGGAGACAGAGTCTCATT